CAATTGCGCAGTGGTCCTAACTGCCTTCGCAGCCTTCCAAGCAATTAGGTGGAGAGGGAAATTGCATCTCTCGGGGATATCTCTCAATTTGACCCAAACGTCAGCGACTCAAACTAAAGTGACAATTTGCAAATACCTCGGCTACTGAAATATCGCTATGTTTTGACTTGAACTATAGAAGTTTAACGACTGTGGAAGTTATACAATGTCACACTCAACCTCTGATATGTGATGAAGTAACATTATTATTTTCTATCGGGGACACCTGTGGTACCTGTGGTGGTGGACGGACGATCAGCCCACGACCGAAGTTTAGGTAACATATTCGTTTGGAATCTTTAATAAGGTACTGTCTATTATCTTACGCGAGTAGTACACATTTAAATAAATCACTTTAACGGTTTAAAACGCGATATATTAGTTAAACTATTTGAAAATGATTTTTAACTTTTTAACTTAAAATAACTAATAAATCGCGTTTTAAACCGTTAAAGTGTTTTATTTAAATCTTTAATAAGTTCAATTTACGTTCAGTTTTCCGGTCTAAACTTGTTAAAACCTAGTAAAAACTGTTTTAATTACACATGTTATAAACACTTTAACGGTTTAAAACGCGACATATATCAGTTAAACTATGTGTTTAAAGGCTGCTGCAAAGTTAAAGCTAGTTTAAACGTTGGGCCGTAGTTAAAATAAATTTCTGTATAAGTTTAACTAATTTAAAAGTTAGTGTTTTATTTAAGTTTATACTGTATTTAACTTTTTTTTTATTTTACAAAAATGTATGTATTTCAACGTTACACACATACATAAGTAAAGGGTATTTTACTCCGGTAACTCTTTTATTTGATTGACCGTATTTTCCGGCTGAAATTCAAACGCTGTCAAAAATAACATTTTGCGGAATTGTTGTCATAGCTAGGAATGAACTGTAGCGGAGTAAATTATTGAAACGTACGATTTTCCAGCAGTCCAATTCTGTTATTTTTTATCGCAATCCCGTCTTGTTGATCACCATTGCGTCACTGCCGGTTTTGGTGGCTTTGTTGGTTCAAATACCGCTTACAATGCTGAGAATCAATGTACGGGTTTTGGGTTCGAATTCCACAGCTATAACCTATTAACGGAAATAAAAAACAGCTTGAATGGCCGTGAAGTGAAAACATACGTTTGGATTTGCGCATGCCAAGTCGAAATAGGTTCATATAATTAAATCTGATACTCTCACACATGTCTTTAAGAAAAGTTTTCTCTTCAAAAAAATAACAATATCTTTTTTTCACTTCTTTTAAATAAAACACTTGTAACGGATTAAAACTCGCAATGTATTATTTAAACTGATTTGCAAATTATTTTAACTACAGCCCAACGTTTCGGGTGCTTCGCAGCCTTCGTCGTGGGGAGACTATTTGAAATAAAAGAGAATAATTTTTAACTAAAAGAAAAAAATGTAAATAAGTTTAACTAATACATTTCACTAACCGTTGAAAGTGTTAAAATATGTAATACTTGCGTAAGCTACAGACAGTAATGTCATTGCTGTGACGATTCTATAGTCAGTCGATAGCATCTCGATTCCGAGTATGTAGCGAATTACCAGAATCCGGACGTGCAATAGTTTGCTCAGCTAAGGTTATGTAAATATTTGTTTCGACGTTTGTCTAACCTGACTTTCTTATTGCTCTTTGGCCCTTCCTTGTGGTATTTTTATCATAACATAACTGTTTATGGTTTAAAACTTACATAACATATAATATAATTTTGCTGTAAATTAATATTTCTTGCAACAATTAGTAATGCCGTATTTAATAAAGTATGTATTGAAATAATGAGATATAAATATTTATTATATGTACATTTTATTATAACCACCGATTTCCTATTTGTGAGGTAAGAATATTTCTTATAGTACGAAACACTGCATTTCTATATAGATGTGATTTATTATTTAATACCTATTAGACGCACATAAAAACGTTAAAACTTTTAGGCACGCTCTTATTCTTCTTTAAGGCAGGAGAATAAGAGCATACAAGTCTTAAATATATGTAATATTTTATCGTTCAATACATTTCCAATTTATCTAAACTTTCTTTTAAATAAAATACTTTTAACGGTGTCAACGCGAATTATATACATCACACCAATAAGTCAGAAGCACGGAACGCTGTGGGTGCCGGTTTATTTCCCGCCCGTGTCGTAAAATTATTACAATGTAATCGATTTTTTAATATATATCAGGTCACTTATGGGCACTGTTAAACGTTTTATGTAATATAAAATAAAAATGTGTAATATAAAAATGTTTGTTTGCTTGAACGCGTTAATTTTAGTAAGTAGTTTTAAAAATAATTATTTTTGTTTTGATTAGAGCATTTATCGAGGAAGACTTTAGGCTATATAACATCACTCTTTGACCAATAGAAGCTAAGAAACAGCGAGAAATGTTTACGCTACGAAAACGGTTCAAGATCCCCAAATAATATGAACAACATAATTATTTCTCTGTAAATGATAAAATGTCCGCGACGGTATATGTCTGTATTTTAAGATTAACTTGATAGAACGACGGGACGCGGACGTCGTGGGCACCAGCAATAATTTATAAAGATGGCGGTTTTACACTTATATGCCCAAAATAAATATTCTACGCGGACGATGTCGGCGGCACAGCTAGTGAATAATATTATTCGACGAATAATAGATACACAACGCTTGCCATATAACGGTTGGGTGAACCGAATGTCGCGGTATGTGCCGCATCATAAAATGTGTGCATTCGCTGTTCATAACAACGGCACTGGATGAAACAGCAATCCAAATATCAATAGTCGACGTTTTAATGAAGAAGCATAGACAGATAAACTGCTCTCAATAGAGAACTACACGTTTTATTGGGAAAATGTTTCGCGCTGCAAACGAGCTCGCTTATGAAACAGATTGTGTACTTCAACGCTTCAATACTTCAACAAAAACAATCGTTACAGTGCTATGATAAACATTTCTATATGCAAGATAGAATTATGATATTATTATAACACACAGACAAACATGACACTCGGCGGTATCTCACTTTTAAATGGTGGCGGCCAGTTGAGGTAGTTTTAGTGGGTATTACTAACTCTTTCTTAAAATTAAACATCGGTTAAAACCAATTGGGCTACCAAGTCCTACGCGTCATCGAATTTTTTCAACCCATTGGTACATACACCTCCCGCCCAATGTAATTTCAACCTTAACGCAACGCCATCATGTGCAATAACATGTGAAAAATATTAAAGGTGTCAAACTCTATCTTTAATGTAAGGTTTCTTCTTGTTTGTAAATTTAAAAATCGAAAATAAATTAAAAAAAATTTCGACTCGGGCAGGACTTGAACCGGCATCGTCAGCGTTCCGTGCTGTTGCTCTATCAATTTTTTTTAAATATGCAAGTTTTGAATTCCATGCACTGAAATTGAAACACGGACACGTTGCGACTTTTCCACCCATTTCTGGTAGTCCATAACCATTAAAGATTAGGACGTATTTTATCTTTAGAGATTCGAACATGCAGAATCTTTTACCGAAAGATACACTTCACAGCTTTTCACCTGTGGGAGATGATATGGCTCAATGAGAAGTTTTTAAACGTAAGGTTTATATAATTTAAATTTGATAATCTAATTTAAAATAACTGATTCTTTTATGGAGAAGTTTTTATATTATATTTAATTAATATAAATTTTTAAGGATCAAGAAATCTTCATTATTTAAAAAGGTAGGTGAAAGTGAACCCAAGAAATCATATTCCCAACTTTATGTTAAATCTAATATAAATGGATTTTTTGACGAGAAATATCAGGAATATGTTGAATAAAAAATATTTTTTGAATATGAGAAGAGTTTAGTAATTTTAAAAAGGTGTGGGGGTTTTTAATTAAATTTTTTGAAATAAAAAATATTATACTCAAACTAAATATTCCACGCGAGCGAAGTTGCGGGTACCTAACTGTAGCCGCAAATTCTTACTTACATATAGAGACATAACGTTTGAAAACTTTATTATTTTTTACATGTTGCACATGAAGGCACTATATAATTTTTAAAAATCGAAAATAAATTGAACTTTTTGGGCAGGATTTGAACCGCACGGAACGCTGGCGATGCCGGTTCAAGTCCTGCCCGAATGGAAAATTTTTTAAATTTATTTTCGATTTTTAAAAATTATATAGAGACAATATTATTGTTTATATATGACAAAAATTTGCAGCTTTATCATTAATTACGTTATGAAAATATAATATCATAAGCTGATGTTATGAAATGTTAAAACTGTTTGTATTTGTAAAATTTCCAGAAATAATAAAATACCTCTCTATAGTCATTGGACTTTTCATTAGTCATTGCTTTTTCGTTTGACATTTTCAATAAAGATGTTTGTTGCGAACGCATTTGTTTAATGTGTACAATATTCATTTATTATAATTTCTAGCTTGCAAAAAGTCATTTTCAGATAAATGGCAGAGACGATACATTGCACGAGTGTCACGACCCTTGTAAATGAAGAAATATCGAATAAAATATGGCCCGCGTGCCGAAAGATACGTCGTACGCTCTCCGCGTCTCATTATTATACAGTATTTATGTCTCTCCATACATACATTATGAGAGAATTCCTAATCATTCCAAATCTAAAATAATTTCTTGCAAAAGAAGCGCGGATGACATTTGGCGTTTGGCCAGTACATGCTTTTCCCCCAATCATTAGATCGGACGCAACACATTTGAAGCTATGAAAACATCATTAAAAATTAATGACGCTTTATGACTACATCTTTAGCTCGAATATAATAAATCTTTTATCACTGGCTTCTCTCACCGGCCTCTAAGCAAATAACAAAGCGCTTCTTACCGGATCTCGATAATGACTTCCCTTACCTGTTTCAATTGAAACCTTTGCGATGAGAACAATAACAATAGTATGGTCGTGTAAAAACTGTTATATTCTGAATGAAGTGTTTACATGATGATAACTAGATTATAAAGGCTCGTGTACCTGTTAGTGCTATCGAGATCGTTCGCGTTAACGTCGGGGCGAGGACGACCCGCGGCGGGCGCTGGCAACGAGCGACTGCCGCCCGGGCCTAGCGGATAGAGACGCACCGCTAACCTCCGCTTGCACTGACACCACGCACCACGAATACCACTTGCATGCACACCACACCACCTGCCGCCGCAGCAGCCGCACGAAATCGACGTTTTTTGCGAACTGACCGACGGAGAGAGGTTACGCACCGCGAGGGGTGCGGGGCGAGGCGAACCTGCGCGCTGCGTCACGCATCTATCTCGAGGACGTCTTGTGTGATCCCGCAGCCCGCCATCTGCAGAGACGCAACCCCGAGTGCTACGCGCGTAGCGCCATTCATTAATATGCTACGAATTATCTTAGTATTATTGCTACTAATATACGGTTCCCCGTCGTTTCGATGCCTTCAGAATTCTCACATCGCAATAATTTCTATTAATTTTAATAACTCGCTTAAAAAAAAACGAACCGCGACTCTGAATACAATATTTCAGACATCATCAGTTTAAAACTGTATTTAAGAACACTTTTTATTTCAGTAAACAGAGAAAATAGCGATTCCTGTTAAGATATTTTTTTATAAAATTCCTGCCTCTCAAGGGTGACCCTTTGATTAAACATTGTTTAAGCCCTGAGGTCGATTTGTTAAATTATAATGCAAATATAACATTATCAGATATTGTCATAACCTATATCGAATAAATATAAGGTTCTCTCAGATTGGAGCTTATCTAATTTAAAAATAAGTCTACTTAAATATTTCGCATTTTTAACCGTTTGAAAAGTGCTCTATTTAAAGTACATTTCTGCTTTTTCTCTCTCTTGACCGCCTCTGTAGCCGAAATTGTTAAACGTGCTGCCTAGGTCATTGGTTCAAGGATTGTTGATGGACAGGGTACAGAAGTCTGATCAACTACTTGCCTGTAAATAAAAACCGAAATACAGAAACGTATTCGTCCCTTGGCCCACAGACGGGAAATGGGATTTTTTTTATTTCTTTAATCAGCCACGTAGAGTCTACAATCCAGTAAGATTTTATTGCTACAATATTATGTAAGCGTAAAATATATTTTTATTTTTCGTAAATGCAAGATGTTAAGATGCAATTTTAATTTATTCCGTGAGCTGTGACTCGCTTAACTTATGCAAAGTGCTGCGTCGCTATTCAATTAGGTGTTTTGGTGTAGAGCAGAACATGTTTAAATATGTAAGTTAATTTTGCTCTTTGAGAAAAGAAAAATATTTTATCTTAAAAAGTACGAAGCTGGAATGGAATTAAGTGTGGCTTCAATTAATTTTGGCTAAATATTGCATGAATTTTTAAAGCACGAATAGTGAAGACTTTGATTGTTAACACAACAAAAATATATCAATTCAATCTATATATAATAAGATAAGGCAGTCAAATTTGTCTGTTGTTTGAAATATTATTTGTCTTTTGATTAGTGCCTATATTTATATTTTTAGAATTAACAAGTTCACTGTGAAAGATATTTGGAATTCCACAGTGCTATGTCTATAACACAATCCTACCATTATAGATATTTTGACATTTGAATTCAATTTGACAATATGTTGTGGCAATATAATTTTATTATATTATATTAATGTACACAGTATAATTTTACAGCTAGCCAGACATAAAGTCCATTTGATATACCCCAGCGAGATGTCATATAAGATGCGGTACGACCTATAATATTATATTATTTTACTTTGGAAGTTTAGATAACCGCGAACTGCAACCGAAACATGGATTTAACTTCAAGTCTTTTTCACTCTTCCCTTCCTGAATTAAGATATTATTAGTACCACCATTTTGTAGTATAAAAAAAAAAGTATAGACGTTATATTTTTTGTAGTAAGACATTTAAATAAAACACTTTTAACTGTTGAAATGATTAGTTAGTATTATTAGTTAAAATTATTTACAAATTAATTTAAATGCGAGCTGACGTTTCGGATGCTTCGTTAAACTAATATATGTTTAAAACCTTTGTTTTTATTAAATTAATCAGTCGACGCTTATTAGAGAATACATTTTGTTTTACGCGATTCAATGTCCGAATAAGTACGTTCGATTCATTTTCAATCGTCACTTAGTTCACTCGGACTGCTTGGCGCCTGCCTCTATATGCCAAAGCAGCGTGCCAGAAGTTTATTTCGTACCATAAATTTGTGTAATCATCGTAAACAATGGAGGAAATACATTTTAATACCTTCATTAATAATATATTATGGCCTTCTATATTAATGAAAGCTCGTGTGAAGATCGTTTTATTAATAATTACTTAAATGTGATACAAGGGAGAACGTAAAATGACGTAGTAATAAGCAATATTAACTTTTATTATATTATTTGTAGTCTAATTTGCTGCTGCGATATTAGCCTAGCAATGTTTAATTCTAGACCAGATTCTTAAGCTATTAATTTATATTTTAGTTTTTTGATAATATTTTTTAATTAAAACGTTGTACTTTATAAATAAAAATAATAAATAGCGATAAATAGTTTTACGCGAGGCGCGCGTGTCGCGGGGAACTCCCCGTTGCTGCAAAGCTTCGAAACGTGGCGGGCCGAAGTTAAAAATCATTTTCAAATAAGTTTAACTAATATATCGCGTTTTAAACCGTAAAGAAAAAAAAATGAACTGTGCAACAATAACACAAAATTTGTAATGTTTGAATCTTGTTAATTCGTACGCTATACACCTGCATTAATATTAATCTTAAAAAAAACAACAGCACGGAACGCTGACGATGCCGGTTCAAGTCCTGCCCGAGTCGAATTTTTTTTTCAATTTATTTCCAATTTTTAAATTTTTTAAAGAATTCAAAACTGCGATTCTGGGTTTAAGTCCCAGCTAAATTAAAATAAAATAACCTTTTTATATTACTGTACCTTTTATTTTAAACAAAGTAACTGTATCAAGTGACATATTTATTCTAAATCAGGCCTTTAGAGGTGGTTGTTGAGGTATATTTGTGCAGCATGGATTATAAGGCAGTGGCGGGCCTTTATACTGTAGAGTTAGCTTTACGACTCTTTCAGCTTCTCGTATTCCACTTAATCGGGCACCAGCAACTGTCCCATTTAAGCCTGCGACCGTTGCCTCGCCTGCAAAAAGCAATATTGGCGGTATCGGTTCACTCGGTCCTGGGACAGGACATGCTAAAGTCCTTTGAGCATATCCATCTGTCTTTGCACAATCACTGGAATAAGCTCCTAAGAAGTAGGGGTCTGAAGACCAGAACGACCGCAGTATCGTTACTGGGTACGGTATATACGGATTGCCTGTAAACATTCTAAGTATTTGTGTCACACCTTCGGCCACGTCTTTGTCACAAAGATTCTCCATAACCGCCGCTTCTGGACCGTCTACCACGACGCTGAGAACATGCTTACTATTGGGGACCATTTCAATTGATTTTATTCCCCTGGTCCAGTCGGCGCGGTCAACAATATTTCCCGGCTCGAACTTGAAATTCAAATCACCTTTGTGCCAATACCAAAATGGTCTACAGTATTCCAGGTACACTTTATTGCATGCCCCGAGGCATAAACATTTTATGGCCTCAACCTTATTTGCTGGTAACGCGGGACAGAATAATTTTATAGCGTTACTACACAGTACTCCAATTGATGGAGTTAAAATGACATAGTCTGCTTGAAACTCTTCGCCGTCTGCGGTGTAGACGTATGCACGGCAGCCAGCCTTCATACAAGTACCCCAGTAAATACAATTTACAGGTTTACAGTACCTAATTGTTCCCTCTGGTATTTGCCTTAATAGTGGTGCCAGGATACCAACTAATCCCAAAGGAACACGGACGTCACCTCCCGGCATGTTCATGAAGCAACCCAAATTATCAGCGCAAAGTAGACCTATATCGTCTCCACATCGCGCATTTAGCATGTGAGTCAGACCAAACATGATACGAGCAGCATCATGTTGCTGCTCCTCGGGATATTCGTGTAGCTCCTGTTGAATTCTTAAACTCATAAAGTTAATGAGTGATCCTTGTTGTTTGTTACCGCCGAGGCAGTAAATTTGAGCGGCTTCCTCTTCGATTTGACGAAATTTATGATAAGCTGATATCATGGGAGGGAAGGCCATTTTACCAGAGACAACACTATTAAATAATCCTCGGGGATGTTCAGCACCAGGCACTCCAGGGCGAGGTGGATCTTCACTAGTGGATAAGGTATACAGTGGATGTGTTGCTGTATTCTTCATTTTCCAACTGGCACCCAGTTCAGCGACAATATCACCAAGCCAACAAGAAAGTATTCGTCCTCCAGGCCTGAAAGAGGGTTCATATTATAAAAACTAATACAACTAAATTCATACAAGCATCTGGTACTAATTGTATTTCTATTATAAGAATATACAAATATATTTGGTGATAAATGTAAAAAAGCTACCTTTCATAAGGCTTCCAGAACTACGATATTGTTTATTCCTCTCTGCGATAGTCTAGCAGCCGCCGACAGACCAGCCATGCCTGCACCAACAATAACCACCCTTGGTTCTTTGTAGCATTTATCAGGATCACATGGCTCTACACCACATATTCCTCGGTCTTCCAGATCTGGACCACAATTAAATACATCCGATTGTGGTCCAAGATCGGATTTCCTTTGCCAAAACGTTAATATGTAATAATATAGATTTGTTTACACGTAAATTGTTAATAAACTAAACTTACCATCTTTTGAATAAACCATGACATTTCTTGGATATAATACGTTTACTGATTAATTTCATTTTTGAAACTTCTTTGTAATTTTAATATCAAAATTAAAATATAATAAATTCTGATACGGAAATTTTAATACGGTCAAAATTGATTTGACTCTGTCACTACTCACAGTTAGTCTTCTACCATAGATAACTATTTTAATAATAATCTACGCTCAATTTTTTATTGGAATGTTGATGTCCGTAATTTTAAACGTAAAAGCATCCTCGCACTTAAAATAGCAAAAAAAAAAACAAATACACTTTTCTATAAATTATAGTTTTAATATTTATGTATACCTATCTTATACAGAACATATTATGCTTATAATCTTAAAACATTTAGGCTTTTTTTAATTCATATTATAACGACTTATTTTTTTTAATTCTTGTATCTATATTTTAAGTTTCCTCATATTTACTACGAGAAAAAGCATCCGCATTTCTAACTAAATGTTAGTGGCAACATCACAGTTTTTTTCTATAGGTTTATCTAGTTAATACTCAACTCAGAATCTATAAATTAAAACATTCAGTCCAAAAATGGTCCAAAGTGTGGTAGAAATGGCGGCTCACACGGCGTAGGGAATGATTTTCATCAGCGTAACTCTGTAAAAAAAATAGTATAAACGCCCATAATAAAATTAAAAAACATACTTTCTTGCTACAATTTATTTTTGATTTTTTTCCCATTTTTATTCAAGATTTAATTAAAAACTTCTTACCATTTGCTCGAAAGCAATATCAGCTCTCTGCAACTCCTTCGCAAACTGCATGCTGTGCTGGAAATGCACATTGTCATCGCCTGTACCATGCACAATGAGGTACCGGCGCCCGCGCAGTTTTCCAGCCTTAGACATAAGATCTGATTCTCTGTAGCCTTCTATGTTATTCTCAGGCGTGTCCATATAACGCTCGGTGTAGATTGAATCTGAAATCGAGATTAAATATATCGAAGTAATGAGTCTCAGCCAGTATGAACTTCTTAAAACGTGACAGAAAGATGGCGCCACAAGTCATTTTACACATGTCTCTCATTCGTTAATAAAAAAACTATATAATATTTTGTCTTATTTTGAGTATATAATAATTAATTAATAAATGTAAATTACAGGTCTGTATTTATAAGACTATTTGGTTTTAAACTCACCATAATATAACCAAGACGTAACAGGGGCGACTGCAGCGCCACAAGCGAGAAGCTTCTCATCATCTTTGACAAGCATCATTGTGGTGGCATAACCACCGTAACTCCAACCCCAAACTCCTATACGCGTAGGATCAATGAATTTGTACAATTCCACTAGGCGCCTGAAATAATATTTAGAGTTAGAATTCAAAACTTTGATTAGGAGTAATATCAGAAAGTTTTGCGTTTTTGTTTTTTTTTTGTTTTAATTTTATAAATCAATATATAAAGCTAAAGAGTTTGTTTGTTTGTTTGAACGCGCTAATCTCTGGAAGTACGAGTTCGAATTGGACAATTATTTTTGTGTTGATTAGAGCATTTATCGAGGAAGACATAACAAATTGCGATGTGACGAATAGCGAGAAATGTGAAAAAAATTAGGAATATTATCATCATTATGGACTTCTCAGGCGTACGTTGCAAAATTGGTTTAAGATATCCAAAAAATATGTATAAAATAATTATTTCTCTTTTAACGAAAAAATCTAAAAAAAATCCGCAACGCTATATACGTCTATCTTTCAAGATTACCTTGCAAAAACGGGAAGGGAGGCGACTAACGTCGTGGCTAAACACTTAAGTTTATAAAGATACAAGGGGTTTGCAAAAGCGAATTTGGATGCCCAAAATAACGACTCTCGCGGACGAAATCGCCGGCACAGCTAGTTATAAAACATTTGAACAAAGTCGCCTTCGTCGTTTTTTCAAAGCTATCTTGTAGATCTGGTCTAAGTGATTAATTGATCTTGCCCTAAATTAATTTAGACCCTCGAGAATGTAACAGCTTCCGCGGTAAGTACACGCTTATGTAGGTATACCCAAAAAGATATTTCATACTTAATTGCTGCTAGAGTGTCTGTAATTTCCACCGTCCCAAGTGCTCTATCTAGAGCATGCATAGCTTCGACACCCATAGATCCAGAACCTCGAACATCAATTGACGCAACTATTATACTGCGGTTAGCACTCAAATACGTGTTGTAGTATTCTGAAACAAAAGAATAGTGAAATATCTCCATTTATTATTGAGCTTATAAGCTATATATATAGATATTTGTCTAAATACTGTCTGTAGTTTACGCGAGTAGTATTCATTTAAATAAGACGCTGTAACGGTTTATAACGCGATATATATTTGTTAAGCTTATTTAAAAATTATCTTTAACTACGGCCCGACTTTTCGGATGCTTTACAGCAGTCGTGGTCACCGGGGAGGAGTTTCCGGGAGACAGCTGCTGCAATATTTTATCACGTTGTAAGCCGTCAAAGTGCTTCATTTAAGTGTCTGAAATAAAATGCATAAAAAACAAACCGACAAAATTGTGTCTGTCTCGTACCCCACGTAAATAAAACGTGTAATAACGTTTTTGCGAATTGTACTAAATAAAAATAAAAAGTATTTATTCACTAAAACATATATTTATTAAAAACATATATGATAACTATAATTTACTAAAAATATATATCGACTTACCTAGATCAAAACTATCTTTAACCCTAGACGTTCCTGGACCAGAGTACACCCTCACAATCATCGGATACTTCCGACCCTCCTCCATTTGGGGGGGCAATTGCAATTTTATATGTGACATCACTTTGTTATCCAACGGCATCATATTGTAAAGGGCCATTGGTAATTTATATTGCCTTAGTTTTTCAACTAGACGAGCGTTTTCTGTGAGCAATTTGTAGCCATTGTTCTGTAAAAGAAATTTCTTCAGTAGCACAAAATACATTGATTTTTGCGCCACACTTGTACTGACATCATTATGATAGTTATGCTCAAGTATCAAAAATAAACTCGTAGTTTGTTATTCGCGAATTTTAAAGTTAATTTCCCCGTGAATCTTACAGTATTAGTTCGTGTAGATAAAAGACTAACGTAAGAATAATCGGGCTCGCGATCTTATAATGAAAGCTAAATGTTAATAAAATACACACACACAGGAGAACTAAAATTTCAATATATAAGGCTTAATTATAGATAGAATTTCGATTGTTTCAAGTAATAATTGTCGTATAATTAATTACATTTTAACAAATTAATTCCTTATTTTTTTTCCTATTCGTGTGTTACTTGGGTTAGTAACAATTTGACTTATACTAGCTGTGTCAGCGACTTCTTCCGCGTAGAATCGTTATTTTGGGCATCCGAGTGTATTTTGCAGACCTCCTCTTCATCTTTATAAATATAAGCTGTTACCCACGACATCGATCGTGTCCCGTCGCTGTGACCCGTCGGACATTCGGGTCCTGTTCTTCTAGCAAGTTATTCTTAATAGACATATAGAGTCGCGGAATCGTTCATTTCGCTCCTATAAATCACAGCGGAATGTATTTAGCTAAGCCTTCCTCGATAAATGCTCCAACCAACACAAAAATAATTTTTCAACTCGAATCAGTAGTTCCTCAAATTACCAAGTTTAAACAAACAAACTCTTCAGCTTTATATATTAGTATAATATAGACACTAGATAAAATAGAACATGAACGTCATGCCATGGTTTTAACAATACGGTGTAGTTGCTATTAGAGATTAAAATATTCACATACCTGACTGATATAGAAATAGGATATAGGAGGGACGTTGAATGCACTGCACGATAAAATAGCGTGACTTCCGCCAGGCGAGAACATACCGTCGACGCTATGACACGCCGTCTGGCTACACGTCATACACAAAATATTCCCCTTTGAGACCGACCACAACTGCCTCTGCCAAGGCGCGTTCCCCGGTGACACAATGAAGAACACTGTATCCGTATTCTGGTTCCAGCCTACAATCTCTTTAACCGTCGAGTTTCCGGGCGTCAGATCCTCCGTCTCTAAAGTTTTGAAGTCGAAGCGGGCGACGTGGAAATATCGCTGGTTATTGAACAATGCTGGTTGAATTTCCAACATTTTCGTACCGTTCGCGTTGAATAGCGGCTCTCTGATATCAATCCAGCCGTTGGGTTCCGTATGCTCTTTTAATATCGTGCAATTGTCTTGTCTTACGTCACACAGCATTAAGACGCTGATACTCTGTCTTCGTTTTAACCATAGAACCAGCACGTTGCTGTCTGTCGGCCAGTTAACCCTTCCAAGTATGTGGTCATCACCAATTACGTCAACGGGCGCTTTTATTTTTATTGGTTTACTGTTCTCTTCGTGTAAATTATACACGTGTAGAGCTACATCTGGATTTTTGCGACCTGCCTAACCAAAAGAATGTGATATTAGTCAAAGCATATTAAAAGCAAATTATAGTTAACTAATAAATTTCACATTTTAATATATTAAAGATTATTTTACTTAATAGAGGGGCGTAACAACTAACCTTAGGGTATTTAAATTCTACCATCTTAGTATATTGGTTATCTAAGTCTTCGGGATCTCCATAATAGGGAAACACTGCCGACTTCACTAACGTATCATTATAAATGGCAAGAGCTAGGTATGATCCATTTTTAGAAAACCACATTGCTTCGGCGGCATTTAAAATTTCCTCTGAAAATAATAGTTAGGAATAGGAAGTATATAAAGAAATATTCAGAAGCAAGGCTAAGGTAAAAATATAAAGCCGTATATTTTATGTCAAATAAAAAAGCTTATAATTGGTATAACAGTTTAGTATAGTTCCATTCTACAACTACGTAGTAAGTAAATATATCTTTTACTTGTATAAATACACATTATAATAATCAAGTATTTATAGTAGGAGGCTCTAAAAAACATAATACCATAAACAAAACGGCAAATTAATATATTTTTTTTAAATTTTTCTTTATATTTCAATTAAGAATCGATATTCGATATATTAAAAAAAAACCATTATCATTAATTGATAATTATTTCCTATGAACTTACACTTAACGTATACATAGATATATCTATATTGATATATGATAATCTTAAAAGATTAACTGATACCTTCATATATCCAATCAGCTGCACCACAATATACTTTTCCGGGGACACCTTCGGTGGTCAACTGCCTCACTACATCAGGTTCTTTGGCATCAGGAATGTAGAACACATTATTGTTTTCCACAAAAGCGATGCCACGCCCCTTATCCCATAGGACTACTTGCAAATGATCTTGCCCAATTTTTTTTATGGATCTGCGAAGCAATAATAATCTTTATAATAATATGGTAGTCAATTTAAATTACATTATCGTAAAAAAACAGAAAAAGGAAACAAAACATAACAATTCTTAATATTATTGCTATTGTGCCGAAGAAAAGTCAGTTTTTTTAGATCTTAAGATATTGACCGGCTCGTAGGTATAATCTCAGGATGGTTAAAAATCAACGGGCTGTGGGTTAAAAATCAAACGTGTTGGGCCTGGTGGGGCGATCGCCACCAGGCCCAACACGTTTCTTATAATTTTATAATTTTTCTGAAACATGGTGAACTTCGTCTGGAAATCTGGATCACCTTCAACACGTGAAAAACCCGTGAAGTATAGTTATTCGGTTTGAATCTGTTGATTTCCGAATATCCAAATCCAAAAAAGGTACAGAGTGCATCTTGCTTAGATGTTATATGGCTGGAGTATTTTCCCTACCATCAAATGAACACTGCTTGTCTGTCCTCCTATAATTAAACATCTATTTTTGTCTTTTTTCACTTACAATCGTTCACTATCAAGTCATGGACGTTTCACGGGTTACAGCACTATAAACTTTATTACCATTTTTAATCAATTCAAGATGCGATGACGTCATTTTTAAGTTTAATTAATATTTCAGTATTTATAAGATTTGTTTCGACGATTTTCTAAAATCTGATCTATGATAGATTATTAGATAATCTTTCGGCTTCGGTCATTTTGAAAACCACTCTCAAATAAAACACTAACGTTGAAAACGCGATATATATTAGTTAAACTTATTTAAACATTATTTTTAACTTCAGCCCGATGTTTCGGATGCTTTACAGCGGCCGTGGTCACTGGGAGACTAAAGATCGAGGATGTCTCTGACGTCAAAGTTAAAATTGCTACGCTAGCGCCATCTGTTCCGTCGAAGTTGGTATTTGGCAAAGTGGCCGGGTCCTTGCAGAACTGACAAACGTTAGTTAACAGTTAAAGTGTTTTATTTAAATGTGAACTACTAGCGCAAACTACATACAGTTTTACCTCTTAAATTAATAGTTGAAATATATTTTATAAACATTTTGCTTGTATTTATTTTACTGTCCATAAATTTTACTAACTTGATCGAACCGCAAGGTTATCGACTCCTGACATATTAAGACCGATCTTACACAAAAATGATAATCAAAGCATTGAAGTGAAAAAATTAAACAATTAATGCTGAACGTTTGAAATCAATTCGCGTCGCACAGCGTAAATTATTTATGCAAATTAAAAATTTTAATATGACAACACTCACTTGCTCTCGAGGTCAAAGACAGAATATTTAGCCAAGGTTGAATATCTGTACACCTGGAATAAAATGTGGATACGTTAACAATGAGATATGAGTCAATGACATTCTGTAACCGTAACATCTATAGTAATATTATAAAGCCAAAGAGTTTGTTAGTTTGTTTTTTCAACGCGCTAATCTCAGGAACTCCTGGTTCGAATCGCGTTTGCGCGTGGTGGGTAGTGAAATCACGTTTCCCCTAGTGGGGCATAGGGCGAACTCAAATCTGTGTCCGTTTCACTGATCGGTTTTATTTACAGGCAAGTAGATGATCAGACTTCTGTGCCCTGCCCGACCGAAGCAATTTACTGTTTCCCCGGGATTCTAATCCAGGACCTCTCGCGCTTAACCAATGCTAGGCAACAGGCTTAACCATTTAGCTACGGAGGCGCGTGGTGGGTAACAGCTATAATTTACAAAGATGGCTTTGGTACAAAAGAGGTTTGAAACATCAAATTTTGATCTAAAAATTACTATTCTATGCAAGCGAAATAATTGGCACAGCTAGTATAGTTTTAAGCGAATTGACGTCCTTTTTATTTTTATTTTTGTCCTTTATTACATACATTTTTATAAAATTAATTTTTTAATTTATAATTATCTTTTTAAAAATATATTTAAAATATATTATAATATTAAAATATTAGGAATGTATGTTTGCGTCGCAAAAGGCCTCCCCCATCTTTTCCTATTCTTTGTCCTGTTTCTTGCTTTTCTTCACCACCATTTTGTAAGCTGCTGGATGTCACCTGACCATTTTTGGGCCTGGCGATCTTCCGTTTGTGGTCGTGAGACCACCATTCCGTCGCAATTTTTGCCCATCTTCCGTTTGACATCCTTGCAACGTGTCCTGCCCAGTTCCATTTGAGCCTTCTTGCCATTTTTGTAGCGTCTTTCACTTTAGTTAATGATCGAAGTTCTGTATTTCTCATTCTGTCACTTCTCCTGACACCCAACATTGTCTTTCCAACATCTTTATTATAAGTAATTATTATATTTTTAGCTAGATTAACAAAATACTACCAAGCTTGTATTTTCGTTTATATCGCGTGAAGTAAAGTGACGTTTAAGTAGAAAGTAAAACGAAGTTTTAGCAATCGACTTTATTTACAATCTCGAATCCTTAATCTTTCGAATCTCTCGAAAACAAAATACAGAATAGGAATTTCTCTGAAACTCCCCCCTCCCCCCACACGTAGGAGAAGCGGGATTAGACACGTCGCACGAAAGTGTTCACGGTGTAACGCGAAAAAAGATTTGTTAGAGAAAGAAGCGATAATTATCTTCTGCATTTTACACAGCTGATAAATTACTTGCAACAATTTTCTCGCGCTTGTTGCACGGAATGCAAGTATTAGGAGCGTAGTTTTACCACGTATTTTAAAATTCTTTTTAAATTTTATTTTAATGGCTCTATTCTCTTACCTTTGTTCTGTCAGACGCCAAAAGAAGATATTTCTGATCGTTCGAAAACGATGTTACGGCGTTCGCACTCAGTTTAGCCTATAACAAAACATTATTTTATTTAGGTATTTGTTTTTACAGTAAGAACTGTTCAGTACAGTTTTAATATAATGATTTTATTCGTTTGTAAAATGAACAAATTTATCGTTTAATTAAAACACTTTTAACAGTTTTAATCGCGAAATATTACCCGTGGTCCTGTGATCATGGCTGCTGCAAAGCAACGGTAACGCCGGGCCGTAGTTAAAATAAATTGTAAAAAAATTAACTAATGTATTTCGCGTTTTAGAACGTTAAAGTGTTTTATTAAAATATTATATTTCTGTCATGTACATAATGCATATGAGAGTTTGCCGTAAATAATTTTGTAACACTTACCCAATCTGTGTCGTTCAGTAACTTAGTGAACGTGTCGGTGACAACGTTGTATTTATATATCGCTCCTGGTTCTGCAATTATATACTCTGAATCTAGAAAATAAAACACATGAAATTAAGATTCTACTGATTTACGATTTACGAGTCATGGCTTCTCCATAGCTTTTCGATCTGTGGATGGTAACTCGTGACTCGGACGGATCTTTATTATCTCCACTAGTGATCTAAGGTCTGCATTTCCCAGATTTATTAAATATTGTAATCAAAACATAATAATAATTATTTTATATAAGCCTTTTCTTGCTATTTTACATTATTTGTTGATATAGGTATAACATTAAACAGATTGTGTTAAATACTGTCTATAGTTTACGCGAGTAGTACACTTTAAATAAAACACTTTAACGGTTTAAAACGCGATATATTAGTTAAACTTATTTGGTTTTTAAGGGGCCCCCAACCCCCAAAAAAACCAACGGTTTAGACCCTTAAAATTATATATACAGAATAAAACATGTTTGTGCAAAGTAGGCCAAAGATTGCAAACTAACATCGCGCCATTTTACTTACAGCATGCAACAGACATTTGGAGGTAGAAGGAAATAACAGGTAGATAGATTTCAAAACAAATGCTACTGTTGCGCTGTCCACCTAATTTGGCTTTGGATAATTCAAAAAGCTCCCCCAAAAAAAACCACAAAGGGTTAAGGCCCGGCGGCTTTTTCCTCTGAGGGCGGTGGCTTTGAGATCCGGATAGAATTTCGATATTCCTACCACCTATAAAATATCTAGATTTCCCGGCGAAATCCAAATTGTTTCAGATTTTTTTATTGTGGAGCCCGTTGGGATGAACCCACGGCCCGTTGATTATTAGGCATAAGAATAATAATAATAATAAAATTATTTATTGACAAACATAGACAAAGGATATAACCCCAAAAATTATATATACAGAATAAAACATGTTTGTGCATAGGCAATGCCGTTTCTTCAGGCAATTTGGAGGTAGAAAAATAAAGGTAGATAGATTTAAACAACCTTCGACCTTTTGTTTATAATTCAAAAAATATTGCAGTATAAAATATAGGAAACCTGAAGGTGCGCCGTAAAAACTTCAAAGGGGCTTATCGTGAACAAGATGCCGCGGTATTGTTAAGCGAACTTTTAATTTAATTTTTTCAAGTTTCAAAAACTCTTCAACGCAGTTCAGGCTTACAGGGTTTCATTGAAAACTTTCATCTTAACGTTAAGTTACATGATCATTTCACTTCAATGGATTGATTTAGTAGAAAAGACTGCTTGTATCTTATTATGCGTCCTTAATGTCAAAATTAACTTAACCGGAAAACCAAAATCCGAATCTACAAGACCGTCACCCGTCCTATTCTACTATACCTACGGATGCGCGACATGGACGTTGACGCTTAAGGAAGAGGAAAAGTTACTGGTGGCCGAAAGGAGGATTTTGTGGAAGATTCTTGACCTGACGCAAAGGGAGGATGGAACCTGGAGAGTTAGGAAATGGAAAGGAAAGCTGGAAAGGAACCCAACATTATGGAGGAAGCAAAATCCCAAAAACTCCGCTGGGCTGGCCATTTGGAGAGAATGGGAGATTGGAGTGTCAAGAAAGCGTATATCGGAATTCCAACTGGCCTAGATATCGCTGGAAGGACGCCGTGGAGAAGTACCTGCGTGAGCCCGGTGTGGCCGATTGGCAAACAGCCGCGCAAGATCGGCAAAAATCGCTCTCTAGTTTCGGAGGCCAACTACTTCGGCGCGGGAGCAAGTGGGAATCTCGAATTTTTTACGGCGGGGGAGGGGCTCGAACCGATAGCCATAACGTTCCGCTATGTCTAACAAATTAAAAATTGATTGACACAGTAGCTCAATTAGAGTTAAAGTGGAACGGAATGCTGTGGACGTCAAGTTCGAGTCCCGCCCGAGTCGTAATTAATATCATCTCACATAATCAATTTAAATTAACAAGAAGTTTCTAAGACAAATTTCAAATACCGAACTAATTTTTCGTCCGACCCGTTATCAAAGCCTTGTAATCTGCAGGTAAATGTACTAACCACAAGACCAGACAGTTCAAAGATTATTACTACATTTAAATTAAAAATCGTATCATACGTATCTTTAAAATCTCCAATGATTCGTGTTATTTACTAAAGGCGCTGACGTAACTTACTCTTGCAAAATAAACAATGGTGAAACGGTCTCGCGCAGTTTTTGTATCGTCTTCAACATTGTTTGTACCGAAGTTTGCGATCTTAGTGCAAATGAATTAAACTCTTTTACAACCTCGCCTGGGTTCAGCGGGGTTACCCAATTTTAATACAGTGTAAACTATACAGTGCCCGGCGCTGTTGTTAAATGGTTGAACGTGTTGTAGCTAGCTTTGCATTGCAGGTCCTGGATTCGAATACGACGGTCGAGCAGGGCAATGAATGACCAGAAATGTGATCGCCCCATACCCCACGGGGGGAATCTGGATTTTTATGTAGCACTTTAAACTATACTTTAAGTGGATAGTAATAAAATGTTTTTTTTTGTGGGGTTAAAAGGAAAATTCCATATTTTCTAACAGATTTAAAAAAAAACCAATCTAACAAAACCTATCTTAATAAATAATAAAAACGACATTATTGAGTATAATAAAATACGTAGTCTTAATATTATATAATATGTAGTTATTAGTTATACAATATATTGTATAAGTAGTTATTTCTGACGTCTGCACGTAACATCATTACTTACATCATGTTGTAAACTGGCGGACTCTTTGCTAGAATGGTAACAATTTATGGCTAATAATCATGCATCATGGGTGCAAACCTAACATGTTTTAAGCAATTTATATTTTTTCTGAAACATGTTGGATTATGTCTGTAAAATCTGGATACTAAACGGATTGTAGGAATATCGAAACTCTGTCCGGGGCACAAATTACCGCCCACAGATGAAAAACCCGTGAAGCTAAATTGCTATTCGCGTTCAGTCTGTCGAGTCGGAAGCCAAAATAGGTAGATAGCGCATTTGTTTAGATGCTATATGGCTGGGGTGTTTCACCCACCATCGATTGAACCAAATGCTTGTCTGTGTAAAAAAACTAAAAAGTTACCTTTTAGCCCTAAATTCAATACAAATAAACTCCGAAGTCTGAAGTCTTACCTGAAATCCATTCCACGGCCACTCTCTCTGGGACAAACTCTGACTGCAAAGGTACCAGTTCCTCCAACGTAAACGTCTTGAGAGGCTTTTGAGCGTTACATTTTGAAAGACCGTCCACCAATGTCACCACAATCAAAAATATCGGTAACAAGTTCGCCTGAAAAAAAATTGTAAAGCGTCATTATTATTACTGGTAAATGCATATGTACAACATATACAATACAAAATATATCTTATGCGCATTTATTGATAACAAAAACGCCACTTTAGTCCCTTAAACATCAATAACATTCGATGGCCTCATTGGTCTAATGATAGCTATGTATGGCTGATGATCACAGATCGTGCATTCGATCCCCACCGGGTCGTAATCGATTTATAACTTTTCTGATACATGTTGGACTTCTTTTAAATAAAACACTTTAACGGTTTAAAACGCGATATATTAGTTAAACTTTTAGACCACGGCTGCTGGAAAGCATCCGAAACGTCGGGCCGAAGTTAAAAATCATTTTCAAATCAGTTTAACTAATATATCGCGTTTTAAACCGTTAAAGTGTTTTATTTAAATGCGTACTACTCGCGTAAACTATAGATAGTATTTTATTTTAACGTATTTATTACACCTTCTATTAAGTGAACTTCATGCTTGTCTGTCGTCCTGTATCATAAATAAATGTTTTATAAAATGTCTTTGACACAGATGCTCAGTGTAGAAGAACCTATAAAGTATTTGATTTATAGTTTTTAATTTGGTTGCTTAATATTCCTGTTGGTAAATGTGATAAGTACTTTAAAAATTGCGTTTATATATACAATCTATACTTATATATGCTTATATATAAAGCTGAAGAGTTTGTTAGTTTGAACGCGCTAATCTCAGGAACTACTGGTTCGAATTGAAAAATATTCTTGTGTTGGTTAGAGCATTTATCGAGGAAGGTATAAAACATCGCACTGCACACTGGTAAGAGCAGAGAAACAGTAGAAAATGTGGAAAATTGGGTAATTATTTATCCCTGTGGGTTCCCGCTGCAAAAACGAATTCCGTTCCAGATACCAAAAAAAATATTCCCCTTTAAATTATCTAAAAAAAAGGTACAGGAATATGTGTTTTTTTTTAAGATTTACTTGCTAGAACAATGGGAAGCGTCCAACGTTGTGGGTAATAGTTTAAATTTATAAAAAAAAAGGGAAAAGGAGGTTTGCAAAAAACAATGTGGATGTGGCCCAAAATTACTTTTCTACGCGGACAAAGTCGCCGATACAGCTAGTTATTAATAAAGCTAATCCTATTCTTACAAACAAAACAATAAACTGAAAAAAAACATAAAAAAAGGTAATTATAGAGTATGTTGTTCTGACAGTAGATATGTGTTTAATTTTCATAATTTATTGTTTTGCTTTTAGCGTCACGTATTTGTAAACAATAAAGTAGTTATTTGGGTTACATAAATACTTAAGTATATGGGACATTACTTATTCTACAATCGTTTCATTACCAAACTACTATTGTACAAAGAATTGCAACTTATTCGTGGTGTTATATATTCAAAGTTTATAGTTATCTACACTAACGTTAGATCGAGCTTCATATATGGGGCAAAGGGCAGACACGGTATGGTTGTATACTATAATTCGCTGTCGTGTTTTCGTTAAGACCTCATCGCTCTATTTCTCCTATAAACTTTAACCATGGCGGTAGTCAAATATATAGCATAATGTTTAAATAAAACACTTTAACGGTTTAAAACGCGATATATTAGTTAAACTTATTTGAAAATAATTTTATAACTTCGTCCCGACGTTTCGGATGCTTTGCAGCAGCCGTGGTCACGGGGAAACGTCGGGCCGAAGTTAAAAATTATTTTCAAATAAGTTTAACTAATATATCGCGTTTTAAACCGTTAAAGTGTTTTATTTAAATGTGTACTACTCGCGTGAACTATAGACAGTATTTAATACCATAATGTTACTAAACGATATACCTACTTCAATTAAAAAAGTTAAAACAAATATTTTTAATTTTTTGTCTTATGGCAACCATTCATAATAACTTATAAAGTAAATAATCTATAACACTCCGCCGTGAAATAGATATTTTTTCATCCTATATAAAAATAGTAGAACCGCAGCTACTTTTTACATAAGCATAAAGAAATGTATCGAAATATACTTAGTAAACCCTTGCAACATTATTTGTTATATTACGGAAAAGATTATGCTCATAATTTAAACAGACTTATTTATTCTTTGTACGTGTGTATTTAGATGTTTTTAAATTAAATCTTTTTTAAATGTATCTTGAAAGATAAAGTAAACATTTATAATTAAATATAACCACAGACCTTATCAATAGCTGCAATAATTAATTTAAAATCGATTGATCTTAATTGTAATTTTCATTACATTAGGTGAAAATTTATTCATTCGAAATTATACACCCATATGTATATTCATGTATAGTGTGTTATCCGAAGTATTTTTATCCACTACTCACCATTTTACGCGAATAAGTGCGGGTCACAGGAGGAGATCAATGAGTTAAGTGGTCCAAATAGTCATCACAATGCCACACACAACCAAACACCACAAAACACGGCCACTCACTAGTCACTGGTTGCGCCCGCGCATTCGAAATCACCGATCTACGCTCCGCACAGCTGATAATGACGTCTTGATAATTTCGTATTTTTTTCATACGAAAGCAATTGTTGGTTTTTATTTAGGGGGTCGGTAGATTTGTTTTTACCTTGTGTATTAATTAAATTTAATAGATTGAATTTTCGTTTTCTATAGACTTACAGTACTCTACATTTGCCTACTTACTAAATGTTGTTATAGACGCACTCTCATCAATAATAAAACTTATACATTTTTAAAACGCATTTTGAACGGTGGTTTGTGACCGGGACGTCATAGCGTTGGGTTTAGAAAAGCTAAAACTAGTTAAATACTGTGTGTTTAAAACGAGATATATATTAGTTAAACTTATTAAAAAGCCTTGGTTTCTTTACAAACACCACTACGGTTTTACCCCTACGATCGCCTTTTTTTATTAGGAACGTTAATTCTCTTGAAATGAGCTCGTGGGCATTAGTGTAGTAATTGTTTCGAAACCAATGATGATCCTTATTGAGGGAACCTTTGTCGACTGTTTGTACCGAACAACTATGGCCGCGCTAGAAGACACGATCTCTTTGACTCCCGAGAGGTCGACCTCTGTCGGCTCGCGATACACGAATTTTAACCTCACTCAACGTCTCCTCAATTAAGACCCATGTGATCTTTTCGCAGATCAATGTCATAATCTGAGAAATTTCTGATTTTTAAATTTTGTCCTAATTAATTAAATACTTATTTTTAAGTGTAATTCTATTGTGTATCCAAGTGTTATCATTAATGTAAGTGTATCGCTTTTAATTTTTTTATAATAAATAAAAAAAATAAAATAAAATTATTGAAACTGTTCTTTAACTTCGGTCTCCCCGTGACCACGGGTGCTGCAAAGCATACGAAATGTCGGGCCGAACTTAGAAATCATTGTCAAATAAGTTAAAACAATATATCGCGTTTTAAACCGTTAAAGTGTTTTATTTAAATCTGAAACTAGTTTCAAATATGTCCTTATCGGCACCATCGATAGTATCAGTACATAACATTTATGTGGGTAGTTAAATTTTTATTCGTTAAATGCTTGTTATTTTCTTTGTCAGGAGAAGCCTTAAGCTAGCCGTGCCTTGAGGTCGTCGCTCTGGATATTGTAGGGATATTATCGTATTCATCTCCAAACTGGTTTTTGCTACATTCTACTCCAGCCGTGTTATAATTTAAAGTTATTGAAAGATCCCGTTACTTTACACTGTTTACTCACACCGTTAAAGAAACATAAATTATCTGATTTTATCACATGAGACTACCCTCTTATTTTAAACTAGCTGTTACCCACGTCGTCGTTCGTGCAAGTTAATATTAAAAGACAAGCAAATACTGTTCCAGATATTTTGTGAGTTGATTTAAAGGGGAATCATTTATAATAATACAACGTTAAAACACATTTTCACCGTTTCTTTGTAGCTATTGTTTGCAGCGTAATGTTATATAGCCTAACGCTAATTCTTCGAGAATTAATTTTTCAATTCAAACCAGTAGTTTATGAGATAGGTGCGTTTAAACAAATAAATTCTTCAGCTTTAAAATATTAGTGTTGTTCGTTTAACCTTTTCTTCAAAAATAAAAATATAGCACTTGTGGTTTTGTTGAAGTGTGCTTTTCGAGGCAAAAGTTTTAGATTCATATTTCGAGAAAGCATAACTCGGAACCTATTAAGATCTATTATCCCGTAACAATTCCTAAGATAACTACTTGTTACATAATATAACAAACTAATAGAAACAAAATAAAAAGAACTCGACACAGATCACGTCTCAGTAACAAGGATATTGAATTCTAATGATTTGCAAGGTCTTACCACAATAAGCGTTGCCTGAAACAGTCTACCAATGAATGTCAATTTATTTTACTCAACATTTAGTATCTGTTACGCTCGACGACTTAAAAGGGAACAAATAATTTAACGTACGACTTATAAGTATGACCTCAAATAAATAGTTTTTTTTAAATTAGACTTATTTAGATAAAACACTTTAAAAACTTGCAAAGCATTTGAAACGTGGGGCTTTAGTTAAACCGTAAAAAATATTTATTTAACTCTGTAATATAAGTAGACATTGCTGAAGAACGACTTACAAAGATGAACATTACAAAACGATTAAAAACTGTCTTTTCTAAAGTTGGCGACCAGTAGACACGGTTCTCTTATGGCAGACAGGTAATTGATAAGAATATTTTGCCCCGGGATGTTTTCCCGAGATTCGAAATTAGGACCAATCTTAAAACACAAATAAGTCATGGAGGTCGTCATTTTCCTATTAGGTACTTTATAGATCGAAGTTTAATCGTCTTGCATTTGAATTCAGAACAAGGCAAACATTGACATTTAGTTAATAAATAATTACTAATAAATTGTAAAAAAAGGAAAAAAAATGAAAAAAAAAAAAATTTTTTTCTTAGCTAAATTAAAATTAACTGGCCGAAGTTAAAAACGAAAAATTACAGAAATTTATAAGGAATAAACAAACAAATACAACAAGGAAAAAGAAAATATAAAGGAAAAAATATCTCTGAAGAATATTATTTTTAAATCGACCCTCAATGTTAGAAATAACGGATAACACAGCTAATAAAAGTAATAAATAGTGTAAAGGTTTATTTTGTTGTGTTCATAACTGGGAATTACCTAGTCGTGTATAAATCACAATTAGTGGGTTTATTTAATTGCACTTTAAATTAATTTACAAATTACAAAAACAATTAGGAAAATTATAAATATTCCTAACAGTTAAATGTGGTATTCGAACTAAGGACCGGAGGTCTAGTTTCCAGGGAAGATATTGCTTAGATCCATTTATAACATACAATCTTTATTTATTTCTTGGTTCGTTTTATAATGACATAAGAAACAAGTCGACTCTCGCGCGTAACATAACGCAGTCATTATACAGTTGAGTGAATGTATTACACAACTCAAAACGTCGTGAGAATAGATAATAAATCGAAATAAAGATACTTCATGGTAAACACACATTTAGAAGGACATTTTTTTTATTATCACTATGTGATATTTATTTGTACTCTCTTTCATATTTTTTTTCGAAATTTTGTTTCAGAATAGGTTTCTCTCACAACAAAAGAATAGCTAGCACAGTGGCCTCTGTCGCTCAACCGACTCGATCGTGACTTTCAATTAAGGACAAATAAGCCTAAACAATTAATATTTTACAATTATACGAAACAGACACGAAATGGGGCTCTCGGGCCCATATCGCTGCCCATTGAAGTCCACAAAACATCAAAACAAGATGCGCTGTCGTCCTATTATGGCTTTGACCTTCATAAATCCAAAGACGGAAACTGAAACGCGAAATGTCACCACACAATACGAACTGGTGATTGTGGCCATGCCTTTACTAGATTCTTCCAACCAAAGCCGAATTTCTTTCTTGTTTAGATGTTATATGATTGGGATATTTCAACTTCCATCAAGCAAACCTTATGCATGTGACAAACAACTACCTATAAGAAAAAAGCCCTATTTAAAATCCAGCTTTTCCAGCATTTTACATTACAAAACATCCCGAATTTGGCTCACCTTAATGTGATTCAGAAATCGAATCCCCATTCTACTGTGTATTAGCCATACATCGATATTTAAATAAAACACTTCAACGGTTTGAAACGCGATATATATTTGTTAACTTATTAACAACTTATTTAAACCACGACCCGACGGTTCAAATAATTTTAACCAATATATATCGCGTTTTAAACCGCTAAAGTGTTTTATTTAAATGTGAACTACTTGCGTACACTAAAGATAAATTGACACCTAAAGATCTGAAGACGATCTTCGAATACCGTAAACTTCGAATTCTTACGCCCTTGCTGTTCTTTTAAGTTAAAACGGGTGTAATTTCTTGCAAATGACCTGAGCTCAGTCATATTCATAACATTTATTGTATAATCAATTGAATGACCCAAGGTTTCTCGCAGTACCCCAAGCGAGGTCACTATCATTAGTTTAATTTGGCCGGCATCTCTCCGGATATCGACAAGCGATAAATTTTAATCTATCTATGATTGATTCGTGTTATTCCCAATGTATGAGATTTGAGCCGTGTCTGCCAACCGGGTCAGATCTTTTGACTTGAGAAATCTGTGCCAATGCGACTAACTTATGCAATTATAAGCATTGTAAGTGCGAATTGTTTGTTTTTATAAATACTTAGAAACGATCAGAGAAGTTTTTGTAGGCTAACATACCTTCATTGCAATATTTCATGATAATTCGTAAAAGTTGAGAGATATTTACTTTTAAATTAAACACTTAAACGGTTTAAAACAAGATATATTAGTTAAACATATTTGGAAATGATTTTTAACTTCGGGCCGACGTTTTAAACCATTAAAGTGCATTATTTAAATGGCTACTACTCGCATAAACTATAGACAGTATTTAGATATTTACTTATATCTAAATACTGTGTCTAAGTTAGCTCTGAAAAAAACCCGAAGTATTTAGTTCGGGTGTTTCTTTCGGGTGAGCTAACTGTAGCCAAAATTAGCGTTAACATTTCAACTAAATAAATAAATAACAAACTTTTTTGATCCATCTATACTCTAATCTAATATTATTAGTTGAAGAGTTTATTTTGGTTGGTTTGATCGCACTAATCTCAGAAAATAGTGGTTCGAATTGAAAAAAATAGTTTTGTGTGGGTTGAGCCACTTATAGAGGAAGGCTTCAGACCATAAAACATAAGGCTTTGACAAATTGGAGCGAAGACATAAAAGAAAATATGGACAAAAACGGGAAATTATTGATCCGTATGTATTCCCGTTGCGTGTGATGCGAAAACGGGTCAAGATACCCAAAAATATATCTGTAAAATATTTTATCATCTTTACATGATATAAAAATGTCCGTTTATGGTAATCAAATTACATCGAAATATTTCTTATGGCAAAAGAACTTTTGCCATTCGGCTAGTATTAGATACCTTGTAAACATCATCCTATGTTTTGGTATTCATTCAACATATAACAACCTTGATACTACAGTCGCCCAAAAGTCTACTATTTTTACTGTATAAGGAAGCACTTTATATACGATACAATATCGTAAAGTTAATAAGACGAAGTCGTTATTGTATAATGATATAATCGTGGCCCGACTCCCTTTCACTTTGGGCGCCAATCTCAGCCTTTGATGCAATGTTGCGTGTATTGGATGTAAGGCAAGGGTTCCAGCGCCAGCGATAAACGGAAAGCAAGCATGAGACAATTTCACTAATACGAGTATACAATAACATAGCGTCGTAGTTAAAATAAGTTAACTAATTTATTTCTCGTTTTAAACAGTGTTTATTTAAAATAGTACTTTCTGACTTTATGTTGAAAGTACGACTATATCCAGATTTTCCAGGCGGGAATCGATCGTTTGACCCGATGTTTATTAGCCATTCACCTTACATAACGAGTCGGTCACACCATCATATTATATTACATTGGTATTGGACGTTTCTCAAGAGAGACATACATAGACGTTTACTCGCTGTCGGTAAGCCTACATCCTAACATGTGATATAATAGATATTTGTAGTATAGTCAAACTTTACACAATAATTGGGACCTCCTAGAGCGTGACCTAGTTATAGGTATTGTAGTATCCTTACATTAGGTTGAAGATTACCCGTATTTAAATATCAGGTTCTTAAAATGGTTAAATACAGACTTTTTTTAAAACATTATTTAAAATTTTAATGGTGGCTTGGGGTATGGAGGAACCTGCTCTAACAAGGAAGAAGTTTTGCCAGTTCTTCTCGTTCGTTCTACGACCTTAATTTGGGAATTAAATTAAAATTAGTAAATATAAATTTGAAGTATTACATTTTAAACTATTTTACGTACGTTGATAAGTGTACCTGTAAATGATTATTTTATTTGTTTTTGAAATATAGCCTAAAAATAAGGGTTAAACTATTTTTTTAACTTATCTAAAAAATACAAATTTCGAATTTTTAGATAAACGTTTATGAACAGACTATTGTCTAAATACTGTCTATAGTTTACGCGAGTAGTACACATTTAAATAAAACACTAACGGTTTAAAACGCGATATTTAAAAGACTATTGTTTGTTTGTTTTTATGTGAATCTCCATTTAGAAGATAAACAAGCAACAGAACAAAATGTTCCGTCAAGAGCAAACTATAGTCACTGTATGACAAAAAGTATTTATGCAAAATAAACTTAATAAGACAATTATTCTTCATGAAAGGTCACCCGAAAAGAATTTTTGCTTATACAAAAAGTCAATGCAACCAGCTTAATGGTAATGGCTTTTAAATTACAATAGGTTTAATATTCAAATCTATTCAAGTAATGTATATTAATAAAATCCGATTTCCACTTGTGGGACATAGGGCGAACATATTTTTGTATCCGTTCCACCAATCGATTAGGTAACTGTAACTGTAAAATTAGAGTTTTAAATTCTTTACTGTTTTGACGTTCATAAGTGTACTAAGCTATCTTACACATTGTACATGAATAAATGATTTTTTATTTTAATGTTATCTACAGATAAATAGTTGATCAGACTTCTCTACTCTGCTCGATCAAAGCAATCTATTGTTTTCGCGGAATTCGAACTCGGGCAATTATCCATTTAGATAGCGAGGCGGACACACATACATACTTACAGAAATTTGTAACAGATCCTTATATGTGAATAATATTTAGTTCAGATATAACACATGGTAAAAGTTACTCTACTACACTTCCAAGGACGTCATATATAGAGCAATTATTCTATTGAAAAACTTGTTTCGCCTAAAGTTCACACGGAAAGTGCTACTAAAATTGATTTCCCTTTTTAGTTAAACATCTAAAATTTATAAAAAAATATATATATATATATATCTTTAAGTATAAAAAAATAGGTACGAATATTTTTTCTTACATTACTTGATCACTAAAAATTTGATTATACTCAACATTGTCTTCGTTTATAAATAGCACGTTTAATCGTTTGAAATATTTTTTTTTGTATTTAAGTGCACGATGGATCAGATCAGGTGAGAAATAATTGCAATGCCCGCTTCATTGAAGAAATATAATTAAAAAATTCTTGCATTCAGTAATGTATGTAATTAGTTTGTTTCTCTTTCTTATGGTGTCCGATAAAAAAATAACCCAAGACTTTTTTTTTTTATATACACTGCCCAAACCAAGAGCAAATGACAGAGATAGATAGGCTAAGGAGAACCGACTCCATTCGGCCGTCGTGTAACACCTAAACTACCCTCCATACTAGTATTTTTTTACTCATTACATATTTGTAAAACTTATAAGTAGGCAGACCAAAATGATCAACTCTTAAAGGATAAAAAAATACGCTAGATACTATAAAAAATAATTTATTTAAAACTCAAAGAGACGACACATCTTCTTCTGGCATTTGTATACACTTCTCCCAGTATCGATTCATTGTTTTGTATCTGTGCGGGTTGACACCTCGCAGACTGTGCGCTTCATCTGGGTAGGACTGAGAGAAGGAAGAATAATATTAAAATAAGCTATCCACAATTAATGAAACATTTTTTATTTTTTTTTATGATAGAGGAGGACAGAAGTATGTGGTTCACTAAATGCTAAGTGATATACCCCAGTCTACAGCATCTAAACAAAATGCGCTATCGACCTATTTGAGCTTTGGATATTCAGAAATGCACAGACTGACCGAGCGCGATTAAGCTTCAGGGCTTTCAGGGATTTTTATCAGTGGACGGTGGTTTGTGACCCGGACGGAATTTCTATATTCCTACCACCTAATTAATATCCAGACTTCCAGACAAAATTGAAAAATTAGAAACATGTTACACTTGGTGGAAATAGAACCCACGACCCGTTGATTAATAGCCATATATTACTTCAAACCGTTATTGAAAAGATATTAGGTATGGACGAAAAAAAAAAAAATTGTACCATTTGTTCAAAAGGAATATTCAACTCCTGTAGACTCTTCATTAATTTCGCTGCATTCTGGTAGTGCACATTATCGTCAGCATTGCCGTGCATCAAGAAGAAGTTGCGCCCGCGCAGGCTCTCCACTAGTTTTGTGACGTCGCCGCGATCATAGCCCGACAAGTTATCATCGGCTGTTGGAAGACCCATGTATCTTTCGGTGTACATTGTATCTGGTGAGAAAACAAATATTCCGTCAAAAACGAACCACGTGGTTGTATGTTATTTAAAATGTATTTTTAACTACGGCCCGACGTTTCGGATGCGTTGCAGCGGCCGTGGTCCCGGGGAAGATATATCGCGTTTTAGACCGCTTAAGTGTTTTATTTAAATATACGGTCACTAACTAAACATTCAGAAATCATATGTAAAACTTTAATAGTTTTCACATATTCCACATGATTGCACTAAATAAATTAAAAATCGAGAACAAATTGAAAAAAAATTCGACTCGGCCAAGACTTGAACCGGCATCGTCAGCGTTCCGTGCTGTTGCTTTGTCGGAACGCTGACGATCCCGGTTCAGGACCTTTCGATTTTTAAATTATTTAGACATAATCAAAATATTGTGAAAACGATTACTTCAATCCTCTTCTAAATGGCTTAGGGTGAATTTTAAATGCTCTAATCACTTACCCACAAAGACACATCTTAGAAGCACATTATACGTAGATTTAAATAATAATCCTAAAATATATAAATAATAATACAAAACACTTACTGTAATATAACCAAGAAGTAACTGGCGCACTGGAAACTCCGCATTGGAACAGGTTAGCTTGATCTTTGATAAGAGTGAGAAGAGTCGCATAACCACCATAACTGTGGCCCCAAATTCCGACACGGTTGCGATCTATGAAACCGTAGCGGTCTAGTATTTGGCTGGAAATTAAATCAAAAGTATTGTTACATATTCCAACACCTTCTTTACACAGTGCAAAAATTAAACCACTATTTTTTGTAAACCTCGGAATAGTAATTTTCTATAGTTTACACGATTAGTACACATTTAAATAGTATAAAACACTTAACGGTTTAAAATATGAAATATATTAGTCAACTTATTTACAATTTATTTCAACTATGAGCGGCACGGCAGAACGGCTACTGCAAAGCAACTAAAACGGTGGGTCATAGTTAAAATAAGTTGTACATAAGTTAAGTATTATATTTAGTTCTTTAAACAGTTAAAAGTGTTTAATTCAACAGTCTCAAAGTGTCTAAATGCTTGTTACGTAAGGCGTCGGTATAGTTTTTCCGATATTAATTTGTCTTCAGTCACCCAATACAAACCAACGCCTCTTTTTATGGGCAAGTCTAAAGATAAATAATATACGTGTATTCACTTCACTAATGACACTATGAAAAGCATGTGGATATGTCTGTCTCTAAGATACCTCAAAATGACAGAATGATCTTCAATTTCAGCAGTTCCAAGGGCGTTGTTAATGGAGAACAAAATATCTCGCCCATTCAAACCTGCACCCCGACCGTCTGCTAACATGTAGATTGTGTTGCGACTTGTGGTCAAGTAAGAATGGTATCCTGGAGGTTAGTAATAAAGTGATATTAAAATTGTGTCTTTATTGTATTATGATAAAGGAGGTCAGAAAAGAAATGAAACACCCTAGCGGTATAACATTTAAGAAGATTCGCTGTCAACTTTTTTGACCATACCATTCGGAAAACCACTTTGTAATCCACAAACTGAAACGAAAATTTATGACTTCGTGGCTTACCACCAATTTAATACCCAGATATCTAGACGTCCAACATATTTAAATACTGTCTATAGTTTACGCGAGTAGTACACATTTAAATAAAACACTTTAACGGTTTAAAACGCGATATATTAGTTAAACTTATTTGAAAATGATTTTTAACTTCGCCCGACGTTTGGATGCTTTGCAGCAGGGGGGGGGGGGGGCCGGGGTTCCCCGGGCCCCGGCTGCTGCAAAGCATCTAAGCAAAGTTTAACTAATATATCGCGTTTTAAACCGTTAAAGTGTTTTATTTAAATGTCCAACATATTTTATAAAAAATATTAATATATATAAATATATTAATATTAATATTAACTTATTTTAGATCCCGATGAGAATCGAAGCCTTGATTGTTCTTAGCCTTCTTCCCGTCAAAATCGGATAGACAACACATCTATTGAACACCGTTCCCACAACTGGGAGTGCGTAGTCAAAACATAATAGATATGAAATAGACAATGTATACGTAACGTAACGTAACGAATACTTACCTACTGTAAAAGTATCATACACTGTGTTAGTGTTGGGGCCAGAATAAACGTAGAACACCATGGGATACTTAGTTGTGGTATCGTTGGGGTTGAGTCCGGGTGGGAGGAACAGCCTCACCGGCGCTGGATATCCATTCTGGAGGGGAACCGTCGTGATGATGGAGCCAGGCTTAGTTTTGTTCCGTAGATTCACACGTAATTCATCGTTCCTCTCCCAGGGGTATAGAATTGTTTGTGTCTGTGGGAGTTAGTGGATAACGTTTAGGCGAATAACTTAAAGACTCACAAATCAATTGTACATTGTATTGTGGTTATATACTTTATTATACTGTATAAATTATTTCAAGATCTACACAAATATGCTGCATATTCCGTTTATAATACTTAATGCCTCTTTTCGCATATACATACTTAGCTGTGTGTATAAGTATGGGCAAAAGCAAGCTTAAAAATTTGATGTTAAAGAGCTAATATATGTCTTATGATAAATATTGATTTGATTGGCTTTGGATATTCGGAAATCCAGACTGAAACCAGAACGCAATTAAATTTCACGTTGGACAGTGGTTCTTCACTTCGATGGACTTTCGATATTCCTAGATCCTAACTATTATCCACAGAAAGACCAAAACGTGTTGGATACAGTTGGAGTCGAATCCATTGATTATAGACCTCACATTGCTTCATGATCGACGCGCCCGACCTAGAAACATATATAAACTTACCAACGGCTGATAGATATAAGTAGCGGAGGGTTCATCTGGAGAACTGCATGTAATACTGAGATAGGTTCCACCGAGACTGGCAGTAGCTGTAGCCCAAGTGCAGGGACCACCATCTGGCAACTGCAGCTCGCAGGTTAGACACCCAATTCTTGAACCCGCTATGTGTACTGCAGACTGCCACGGCTTACCAGGTAATGTACTTGTGTAGTAACTGTAAGATAAATAAGAATTAATGTAACAAAATTGGATATTAATGCTTCACAAATGTATCCAGTTAAAAAAAATAATAAGAAAAAGAAGTAGTGAACACCAGTACCTACTAGACTGTTCCGAAGCAAATTTTTAGTGTTAAAAATATGCAGCCGTATTGACATATGTTAACAAAACATTTAAGCATACATTACAATGAAAGAAATAAAACAGTTATTACTTTAGTTGATTTATTTTATCGATGGTCTTTTTAGACCACCTCTGTGGTTTCAATGGTTAAAGAAAACCTAGCATTACACTTAGCAAGAGATTGAATTGAAATCCTGGGGAAATAAAATAAATTTTAGTCTGACAATAGTTTCATGAACTCCTTGTCAGTATATCAGATATAGACATATGTACGATCGAGTCGATCTGTAAAATATATAATAGTCCGCCCCACCCCCTCCCCCAGATGGAGACTTTTAATTATATGAAGGTGCTTTAGAATGCACTAAATAATGGTTTGCGTCAAGAACACGTGTATAAAATAAAACTTACTATGCCAAATTCTCTTCATCCATACCAACGAAAGCGTTGATGGTCCTCGCTCCAGGTGTAACAGAACTCGACACGTGGGTGCCATTGACCCTCATAGTCACATACAAGTGCTGCCACACATTATCGTCCACCTGCTCGAGGGACCAACGGGTTGATACGTAAAAGTCTCCAGCTTTGCTGAACTGGGGCAACGCGATTGGCACCCATCCGTTCGTTTCTTCGCGAATTTCGTCCTAAAATATTTAAGACACTACATAGAATAGATATCCAAGTCATTATATAAATTTAAATCTAAAAATGTGCGAACATTCTAAAGCTGAATTCTGTGATACTTAGTTTTCTTTTTGAGACAGGACAGAGAAGCATGGGGTTAGGTGAAGGCGAAGTACCCCGCTATATAAACATCTTAACAACGTGCTGGTTAACCTATTTTAGTTTAGGGCATTCAGAAATCCACAGACTAAAACCGAGGTGCCATTAAACTTAACGACTTCTCCATCTGTCATATGTATCCGTGATCCGGTCAAAACTTCAATATTCAAATTATACATTGATTAGTAATTTAGGGCGGTGGAGGTCGAAACCACGGCCTGGTGGTAGATAGAAAGATTATCGTTATTATTACCGTCATTACTACTTTGTTATAGGTAATATCTATAAGAGTTTAAAAGTAATTAATATATCTTATTTATATTATAATACCTCAAAAGTGTTAGTTTGAACATTATAAATCCTTAGCACGGTCTTATTTTGACGCCTGTTCAACCAATGAGCTGCTATTTCATTGGCAGTTGGCCAGGTCACCCCACCCAAAATATGGTCTTCGCCGACCTCCTCTGGTGCTTCCAAAACAATGAAGTTTACGGCGCTTTGGATATTTCTCAAATCCACGACGCGAAGTGTCACTGCTGGGTTAGTGGTTCCAGCCTAGAAGACAATAACCATTTTGTTTCATAAGATTTTTATCAGTTAGAAGAATATTTGAAATTGGCAAAGATTTTGAAGATAGGGTTTTTAACATATTTTTAAAGTAATGGAAAGGTTTGTTAAATTTTAAGTGAACGCAATAATAATATATAATTTTTACCCAGCTGGAGGGAGACCAAATTGTCTAACATTAAATCAGATTTTTTGACACCCAGAAGTTTATATTTTAATTCTTCGTGGATTTGGTATAATCTCACCTATTATTTCGCAAGAAAGAGGGGGAAAATCTAGAAGGAGACCTTATATCATAAAAGCCTACCTTAGGATATTTGAGATCAATCAACTCCGGGTATAAATCATCCGGGTCACTCTTATCTTCATAATAATAGTAAGAGTAAGTGCCAACGAGGGTGTCATTAAAGCTTGCAAACGCCAAATAATTTCCATCAGGAGAAAACCATGTCGCTTGTCCAGTGTACATGACGTCCTCTGAAAAATGGAGAAAATTGTGAAAATGTTACGCATCGAACTGCCTAAAACAAGCGCCTTCTGATATGATACGTTGTGGATTAATAAATGCAGCTTACATCTACCATATGTATAAAATAAAGACAGCAAGACAGACAGGGTGTAACGCATTACATAACGACACAAATTACCTTCTTTCAAGAAGTTAACACCTTTACTTTTTAAATACTGTTTATAGTTTACGCGAGTAGTACACATTTAAATAAAACACTTTAACGGTTTAAAACGCGATATAGCCGTGGTCGCGGGGAGATCCCCGTGACCACGGCTGCTGCAAAGCATCCGAAACGTCGGGCCGAAGTTAAAAATCATTTTCAAATAAGTTTAACTAATGTATCGCGTTTTAAACCGTTAAAGTGTTTTATTTAAACCTTTACTTTTTGCTCAAGTTACGTTAACGCTATTATTTTACTAAAGAGAGGTATTAAATACAAAGTAGAAATAAATAATAGTTTTTTGGGAATCAAAATTTGTTTTAGCAAACTTTCTTGCGAGTTAATCTTAAAAGATACCACTGCGCTATTTTTTGTAGATCATTTAAAAAGGAGTCATTATTTCAAACATTTTATACATATTATTATAATATAATTTTCATAATTTTCCCCGTATTAGCCACATTTCCCACTGTTTCTTCGCTTCCAATAGTCACAGCGTACTTCAAACTTCGAACAAACTTTCCAGCTTTATTAGTATAGAATGTTCACCTACCCTCGTATACCCAATCGGTATGCCCGTTGTATATAACCGTTGGTTCACCATCATTTGTGATTCTTATTGGCGTTTCCGAGTTTTGTGGTAGATAGTACAGATCGTTGTTTAGTACATAGGCTAGGGAGTGTCCAGCTCCAAAAATACACAGCTGCAGACGCTCGTGGTTTGAAATATTGAAAGTATTACTGAAATGTTAAGATTAATTCAGTTTTTGTTTAAACTATTTTTGTCTAATATTTTGTAAATTGTGTTTCCTTAAGTGAGGTCGGATCCTGGGTAGCAATTGTGGTATTTCTATCGAGTAAGGAATCACATTTTTTGAAATTGTCATAGACAAATGAATTTGACAAATTTTTTTCATAGAAAAAGATATGTTACTTACCGTGTTTCAATATTAAAAAGAGAATATTTCGCAGTCCTAGAATAACGGTATACCTGGAAAGAAAATTACCAATATATGATACATCTAAACAACAAATTCCAACCTAATCTAAACAATATGTTTAACGTATTATCTCTAGTTTGTGCAAGTACACATTTGAAGAAAACGCTCTTAACGGTTTAAAACTCGAAATATATTCGTAGTATTATTACTATGTGCCAACCGTGAGTGAAAGTGATGAAAACGTAGTTAAGTTAGGCCATTATGATCACTTTTAGCACCCCACCCTAGAGTAGTGTTGTGGGTCAAAACTCTTATATCATCTATACTATGAGAGTGTTAAAACGAATTTAAAATATTTTAATTTTGCGAAATGTAAATTGTAAGATTTTATCATTTTTATAAATACCAAAACTGCTAGTATCGACCTGTTAATCTTTATTATTCTCAATTAGGTTTACAGCCTTATCTAGTTATTTATTTATTGTATACCTTTATCACACGCTTATCATAAAAGGACTGAATATTCGTATCAAATTAAAAAATGTTTAAAAACTTACCGATTCAACTTCACTCGGTGCTAAGATAAATTTCCTATCTTGTGACAAAACTGGGCTATTTGTGTTGAGGAGGTCCTGGAAGTTTAACAAAGCAAGTTATAACATTACCAGTAATTAGGCCAAAAAATTTATATCATGTCTGTTAGTTATCTTCTACGTCTTAACGACACTTCGACTTCGGTCGAAAGAAACCTTCTAATTGAATCAAAAAAAAAGTGTTTCTTTCTTCCTAATTTGCAAAAACTGACGAACACGTGAACGAAATGAATATTTTACCCATAACATTTAGCAATTTTAAGTTAAATATCATTTACTTTTGTGTGTCAAATAATCTACAACAGTCTATTTTTTTATTGTAGAACAAGCGGTGACGGTCTCTACATAGAGATGATGGGCGCTCAAAAGGTAATCAAAGCGTTATTTTTTACTGTTGTTTGTGTGTCTACTCGTTCAAAACTACACATACCATAAGCTCTGCAGGAACCAAAACATTTCTACTCAGTGTTGGTACGTCAAACACGTAGACAGCCGTTTCCCCCGGAACGGTGAACGTAAATTCAGTGTCTGAAAATCATATGAGTTTTTAAAAAACCAACAACTTTTCATAAATTAATGCATTAAATATTAACAAAGATAAGAATTACATTATATGTGATAATATGTAAAGAGATATGAGGCTGCTAGAGCCAGAGTGGCCTAATAACAAACATGATTTTCAATAAAGAAAATAAAAAAGCGCAATTAACTTAGGCGAAAATGAATCTGTGTAAAAATATGTTAACAATTTTCGGTCTCTGTGCCCTTGTAGATAAAAATGTTTTGTTCAAATTGTTGCTTGTACGGCCTCATATTAATTTTTATGTTTTGTTCTAGCACTAATCTATATTTCGCACAGTTAATTGTCTTTTTTATTGATTCTTAGTCATTTTCATTGTATTACCTGTAAGGATGAAAATGTAAGTAATGTACTTGAACTTTTGGTATACCTGAAATCCAAGTGCCCGTGAATCCCCTTTGAGAAAAGGAACCAGAGAGAAAATCATCGAGTGAGAAGGGTTCCTGAGCTGCTACTGTTGCAGCAAGCAGCGCCGCCCATATATACCACGTGGTCACCTACATAATATTGCTTTAGATTTGTGTAACCGAACTCGATAATAAAATATCAATAAAAATCTATTGACAGTTGCTTTAGGGGTTGTACGAACAAAATTATAATATTTTGTGACGCGAGAGATCATAATTATCAGGAATTTGATTCGACAAACAATATAGTAGGTAAGTACGACTTAGTCAAAAACACGACACTAAAATCTGCTCAAATTAACAATGTAGACTATGACAGGTTAAAATTAAGTTTTTAATTCAACTATTAACAACTGTGTCTAATACTTACCATCTTTCCACCAGCGGTTGACGGCAACGGTCCGTCAACACAACTTCACAACATAATCTTGAACATTCTTATCCGAATGATAAACAATATCTTGCGATAAAGATATATTACAGTAGTAATATAATAAAACCTTGTTATAAGCTTCAGGATTGATTAGATATTTTTATGTAATGCCGATCCAAATGTAATTAGTGCATTTTATATTCCAACAGTTATGCGCGTTTAGGCAACAAATTTAACTCGGAATGTTTATTTTACTCTTTCGATGACAATTTTATTTTATGTTATACAAATATTTAATTAGATAAAAAAACTTGATGTTTTGTATATATTATTCGTATTGAGTATTTTACGCGAGTAATTTAAATAAGACACTTAACGGTTTGAAATTCGAATAGTATTATTCCCCACATTATTAATAGTATGTCCCCACGTGATCACTGCTGCTGTAATACGTCGGTCTGCAGTTGAAATAATATAAACATATGTTATCCAATACTTTTCGGGTTTTAAACCGATGTTTATTACTTTATTCGCACTGTAGATAATGTAAAAGTTCTTCTGTTTTATAATAATGTTAGTAGTTAAAGAAAACAAAGCCTCGCCACAGGAAACATTTATTGAATAGCAATTCCTATAATAATGTTACATTCCCATAATATAATCCTCTTCCTACATCGAAGAGTCGAAAAAAAAGTGGATCCTCTAATATTTGTTCCAAACTCCGATGGTACGCCGTGCGACGCGTGATTAATTCTTGAAGACGCCGTTCGATGGACGTGTTTTAAATAATTTGATTGTTGAAAGACCAGTCTACGCAATGTCTGTCAAAGCCCAGTCATAACTGGGGGGAGGATTTTGGAGTATTACTTCTTTAACCCCAAAAGTCAATTCCGAAATAGCGGGGTAGGGTTATAGGGCTTTATTGACCCCTCGACCATAAAATGCATTGCCTCCCCCTCCAGCTGAGTAACGTCTAGCCTTGCTACAAGTCTGCAGAACGCATTACTGACTCCGCGTCCCATCCGCAGTTTCCAAAACGGTTGGTCGCTCGCGCGGTACACCGTTACGCTAGTTTCCTCCGAGCGTGCCTTTCTATAACATTCGTTAAGATCAATTCAAACTTCTCGCATCTTCTCACACGTTCACGACGAGTCACCTATTGCTAACATACAATACAATAGTCTTCTAATAATTAAAACTTAACCTGAAAATAAATGTTAAAGTAATATTATGAATGGCTTGTGTAGTGTGTGGTAATTGTATCGGTGTGAATGTGGTGTGGGTGTGCAGTGGTGTGTATGTGTGAACGGACCATGCTAATGTCTGCGGTGCGGACGACGCGTCTCGTGCATCCGTCTCTCGTATTCGGCCATGTGTTGCCGACGCTGCTCCTCTTTGATTGCGATCTGAAAAGGGTACAATGAATTACAAATTAAAAGAAACATACAAATAAAATCATATAACATCTAAACAAGGTCCGCCGTCGACCTATTTTTATTATTTAGCTTTAGATATTCCAGACTCGATCCGTAACGCGATTAAGTTTGACGACTTTGTCTGGAGGGTGGTTCGTGGCCTAGACAAAATTTCGATACTTCTACCAGATTTCCAGACAGACAGAAAGTCCTCCATGTTTCAAGAAATTATAAAATGTTCAACCCATTGCGGATCAAATCCACAACCAGTTGATTATTAGCCATATTGTATTGTATGGCTAGCATTACACTAACTAGCTACTGAAGACAGACAGACACTTACATGTTATACCTGCAACAATGTTAAATTTAAAATTATCAATGAACGAGTGCGAAAAAATAATCACCGTTTCAGCGGAGAGTGGTAGCCAATATATGCAGGGAGTGGTTTTAGTCTTTCTGAACAAATCGTCCAAAAGTTTCGCTGGTGCTTCCTCTTCTTTCTTTTTAAATTTTCTTGCTGTTGACAACGAGAAAGTGGATCACTTTTGTGCACATGATTATTCTTAACATAATATGTAATAACCCAAACTTTACACTTAAGATTTTAAATTAGATTTTTACATAAAATACATATATTTTGAAAATGATTAACTGTTTAAAAATCTTATTATCTACATATGTCTCAATACCTGGCTCTGGACTACGTTCTGGTGAGCGATGTCTGCGCTTGTCGGCCGGCCGTTCTTCCCTCTGTAGTTTCTCCTTCTCCTTGCCTTTTTCGTTCTTTCCTAAGTCCCACTCCCGCATTGCTGCCTTACGCTCCCATGGCTTTTCCTTCAAAGGGAAAATAGAATAAAAATTATTTATTCACCAAACCAAAAGCTGTAAACTTCCTTAAATAAACCATCTACCAATGCAATATTAAGTATGCAGTGAATTACATAAGAAAATATAATGTATAGAGTAAATATCTAAATTTTCTTATAATTAATATTATTTTTGTTTCAATATACCTATATGTATTTAATCAATCACAATTCACACATACAGACAATTCTTTTCTAACTTGGCTTGCATGTCTTATTACAAAGATGAGCAGTATAATATTTAAATAGATATAAAACCAAACTTACAACTTCTCCCTTTTCCCTCTTCATATCCTGCTCACGCAACCAATCCTCCACTGTTCCGGGTATGGTAATTGCTTTAGCATTGTCAGTATCTTCATTGGCCTTTGCCTTGTCAAAGTCGGCTTGTGTTGAAAAGTCTACTTGCAATGACTTTGGATTTGATACAGGCCATGTGACTCCATGTAATGCGTGTCTTGTTTCAACGGCTTGACTAAAAAATGATTAATTATTATTATTATTATATTAATTATTATGTGAAAATGAAAACTTATAAAGTATATATCTTTCATAAATTCCATACTCAGTAAATATATAATATGATAAAAATTTATAATGACATATGGTACTCACTCTTCATTTTCATATATGACAAAACATTTAGATTTGATTTTATCAATCCAGAAGCCATTTTCAACTATTCTGCCAGTCCTTTGCAACAAGTTCTTCAATTGAGGCAAAGTGAAGGGCCTGACTAGATTAGTGATAAACAGAATATTGGATTGTGTATGCCTGGGTGGACTTGGTGGTCTAGCAATAATGCTGTCGCTATCTTTAACTATTGATATTTTTCTTGATAATGCCAAATGTGAGTCACGAGTTTTATTTTCCTTGTCATCTTCTTTTTTATTCATTTCTATATTTTCTGTATTGTCAATAACAATCTTAGGCAAAATAGGCCTTTCAATTTTTTCTGGAACTTCTATTCTTTTGTGTTTTTTGTCTTCAATAACTTCGTCAAATTCCGTAGGTTTAACATCGGGGATTATCTCTTTTAAAACATCTGTTGAGATGGTTATAGACTTCTGAGATTGTAATTTGGTAGGACGTGAACCCCACCGCCTCTTTCTGTTAATGACAAGGGGTGTTGTTTGTTCTTGACCATTAGGAATATTATCCTCTGTGGGTTTTTCATTTTCAATGATTTTATTTGTGACTTTCATACAGCTATCCTGTTGTATTGTCTCTGAACTATCCTCTATAGTCTCCTTAATGTCGCTTGATTCTAACTTTCCTTCATTGCTATTTTCTACAACATCATTTTTATTATCAGAAGTTAGAACCTCAGAAGGAGACTCCGTTTTCTCTGAAACTTCATTTTCAGCTTCATTTGTACTTACCTTACTGGGCTCTTGTGAAGTGTCTGCCTCCTTTTGTTGATCCTTTGAGTCTTCTTCCTGAGGTTCCTTGATATCTGAGGATTCACACTTTAAATCTTCAGTATGCAACTCCAGAACTTCAGACTTTTCAACTGACACACTCCTTTTCCTCTCTGGATTTTCAGCTTTTGGTGACTGCACAGGTCCCTCTTGTTTAGGAGATGCAACTGTTGTATCGGCATCAGATGTTTTATCTTGAGCTTGTTCTTCATTTACAGGTTCATCTTTGTCCTTTGTCTCTTCAGTAGAAACAACTTTCACATCTTTATCATCATCATTAGTTGTAGACATTGGAGTTTCATCAGTGCTTACCTTATCCTTAAACTCCTTACATTCATTACTCTGACTGACATCAGAGTCAGATTTCACTGATGGCTCAACCTGCATTTCTGTATCCGCTTCATCATCTTTCCCGGACAAAATTTTCTCTGTAGAATCTTTTGACTCCGCAGTAGCCTTTCTAGTACGGTATTTTGACTTCCTCTTTTCTGAGTCACCCTCTACACTAGGCGTATCGCTAGAGCTAGTAGCACGTGAATGCTTTCTTTTACTCCGAGGTGATCGGTCCACGCGTTCGGGAGTAGACGGCGGTCGTGTAAGGCAAATTTTAAGCTTTTGAATTTCACCTCCGTCGCTAGAAGTATCTGCTGCCTTAACATGCCACACTTGTTCTTGGGATTGGTCAGGGCTCTCCTCTTTTGGCGGGATTTGTACGGTTTCTGCTACTGGTTCTGTAACCATGGTTTCAGTCGGAATAATCTCTTCAACTGTTTCATCTTCGGAAGTCGATGATTGCTTTCTACGCCTGCTCCGAGTGCGCTTTAATTTTTCTGGCTTTTCCTTTTCCTTTTTTTCTGGCGAAGCCTTTGCTTTCCTCGGGGTTCCCTTTTCACTTCTGCGGCGCATTGTCTGCAATTAAAATTAAATTGTTCAATCTATACATTATTACAATGACAATTATCAAAAAAATGCAATCGAATCTTAAAAACTTACAAATAATTTAGTTATGTCTGATACACTTGCAACAAGGAAGTTATATTAAATAACCAAACAACAACACAATTTACGCTTCAAAAGCCGCCATCACAGATCGCCATTCGTTTGTCGCCATTTTGAAATTGACAGATCCTATTAATTTATAATTCTCACCAAGAACCACAGATCAAAGTGTTAACTATATGGTATTAATAAAAAAAAATACTTACTTCAATAATATGCATAGTATATTAAACTTTAAAAACTATTTTGATATTTTAAATGGAGTTGTTAAACATATATTAAGATGTAACTGGTGACTTGAAAGAATATTGTCCTAATTAAAGAAAACAATATCACCGTTTTAGTACCAATTATTACCAGACCAAATATTGTTATTTATTTAGAAAAAGATCGTTCGCAACATATAAAATTGTTAAGTTATTTAATGTATACGACCGTAGCACACTACAGACTATACGAAATGTTCATGCTACTGTCTTCATCGTTACAATACATTTGACAGTTGTCTTGTCGCCCGAGTAGATAGGTAATTTTAATTTAAGTAGGTACGGAAATTAAGTAAAAATGTTTCATACAGTTAGTTTTCCCTTACAATAACAAGGTAATTTTAATTTACTTGCTCACGCGTGCAAATTATCCGTGTACTTAAGTGTGTGTGAAAAACTTAATTCAATTAAAACGTACCTTTTGTTTCAGATAGTATGCGCCTTCTATGTCATAGTCATACAAGCAATTCGACACTGTTTGTGTCTAACTTGATATCATTTACAGAATGAACATCTACCCATTATTATAAGAAAATTTGTTGTTTAACTTTAAACAACCATGGGTAACCAGAATAGTTGCTGTTGCTATCGCAGTCCGTCACCTATAAGGAAAGATATTGTGAAGCTTGAAGATTATCTCCCAGAAGGGGAAGTAAGTTCAAATAATATCCAGCATATTAGTGAAAGAGAGCCAGATGATGGTGATATAGATCCTTCTCAAGATCCCATAGCTGGCACAATTTTTATGGAAAGATCTAAAGCATCAATTGAAAATGGCATGACCAGAAAACGAAGTCAACATCAAATAGCCGAAAACAAGATGAAAAAAAGCAGTTCCTGTTCTACAATTTATTTAGATGATAGCACAGTTTCACAACCTAACTTAAAAAATACTGTAAAATGTGTTGCCTTGGCTATCTACTACCATATTAAAAATAGAACTTCAGAACGTAGATTAGATATATTTGATGAAAAAATGCACCCTCTCAGCAAGGATGGCGTTAGTGATGACTATGATAGATATAATCCAGAACATAAGCAAATTTATAAATTTGTCAGAACATTGTTCAATGCTGCTCAGCTCACTGCCGAGTGTGCTATTATTACTTTGGTCTACTTAGAGAGACTTCTAATATGTGCAGAGTTGGACATTGCTCCTTCAAATTGGAAAAGAATAGTATTGGGTGCAATTCTGCTTGCTAGTAAAGTCTGGGACGATCAAGCTGTATGGAATGTTGATTATTGCCAAATTTTAAAAGATATAACCGTGGAGGATATGAATGAGTTAGAAAGGCAATTTTTAGAAATGCTACAATTTAACATAAATGTACCATCAAGTGTGTACGCAAAGTATTATTTTGATTTACGAACATTAGCAGAAGCTAATGATTTAGCTTTCCCTAGTGAACCACTGAGTAAGGAAAGAGCGCAAAAGTTAGAAGCAATGTCAAGGGTCATGGAAGATAAGATTGCCGCTGAAGTTGTAAAGAATGGTTTAAAGAAATGGTCAAGTTTAGACAATGTTAATTCTGGTGCTGGTGTAAGACGCAGTGTTGCCATACTGTCTTAATTTTAGTATCTTTATGCAACCATTTTGGATTTAATGTGTACTTTATTCAAACATTAAACACACCAGATTATCAATCATAATTATATAAACAAAATGCTTCTTCAATATAACCTTGAGGTTGGTTATGTCAATTCATAACAACTTTCAGGGTAGACAATGGTTAGGTGACTTTTTAAATTTGGTATATTGTTATTATACTCTTCAAAGATAGGAATGTATATGATCTCTTACAACTTCAATTACTTTGACAATGAAATTTGTTGTATAAAAGACTTCTAAACTGTGGTCCAACAGATTTTGTATTACATCCTCAAACATCACTTTTTTATTCTCTGTATAATGCTTCCAGTTTTTATAAGTTCTAATTATAAGGAGCACTAATAATAATAGGTTGCTTCCAAAACTAAGTTGCTTAGTATATTTTAGAATATTGTCTAGTATGTAAAATTTGTCATTTGACTGAACTAAAGTTGATGTGAATGTGGTATGAAAGTATTAGTCACTTCTTTTAAAAAATTCTAATACTGCATTTAGATTGGTCGTAGGATGTGTATGAATCATGCCAAATTATTTTATAATCAAACTAAATAAGTTTTAGTCAATTGAAGTATGGTAAGAAATAATTGTTATGTTGGCAATAATATCTTTTTTTTAACTGTACAATATAGGAATTGAATAATTTTAACAACACTGTTTTATTTTGTGATTAATTTGTAAAATCTGAAATTCGTACATATTGTATCTTAATTATATTTAAGAATAAACGTTTTATATGAGACTTTAAATGGGGTCTTTATTTTACAGAAACTGTTATTATGTCCACAAGCAAAGATTTATCAATGTTTGCACCTTATCAGACTATATGTTGAAAGTGGTATTGTAATTTTAAAAATTCTATGCCAAAGGTTTAAGGTCCTTTAAGTAGGAACTGTAGTTCTCTAAAATATCAATAACATCATTTTTGCTGCTAATTTGTTTGTCATAATCAGCGCCCACAGACCATAATGTCTCTAAGTCATATACTTTCCGAGTTTTCTCTGAAAATATGTGCAAAGCAATATTTCCTGAAAAGAATAAAAACTTGTTAAAATGCTCACCAATAAGTCGGTTAATTGCTTAAATTGCAAAAAGCCATGAAAAATAAGAATTCATAATTGCATTTCTTAATCAATAGAGTTGATGAGCTCTAAGAATATTTACCTAAGTCTAACGCTATCCATTCATCAGAATCTTTTCCCTCCAGTCTTGGTATGTGATCTGATTTATGGCATTTTCGTTTATAAACTTTTCTAACAAATTCAGCTAAAGCCTGTAGATGTCGTTTACTTCTTGCACTGACAACGCAAATGTGTTCTACATAATTTATCTCTTTAGGAACAGCTGCAACAAATATATCTCTGGAGTTTTCTCTTCGCAGAAGGTCCACTAAATCTTCTAAATCAAAAACACCAGTTTGGCCTCCTAAAATTAAGGTTTTCTAAATAGTTTTATGCATAGAGACGTAAGAAATGGCCTACAAAAGGATAAAACTTACTTTTTAAATTTATTCCATCAAACTCGTCGCTAAGAATAGGATCCTTAGGATTCATTCCTACCTCTATTTCATCCATTGTATGTTCAATAACAGGGGAGTTAAAATCCGTTATTAGTTGGTATTTACTTGATATGCCAGGTGAGGTTTTGTTAGGCGGATTTCGAGGAAATTTCAAACAAATAGTACAATGCATTGACCTTTTCGACCCCGCAACATTTTTGTAAATCTGCACACTTTTTAGATTCCTTATTATATTTTTGTACATCTTCAGAGTTGTATATTAGATCTCATTAACATTACCAAATCAATTATAGACGAGAATTGATTATCTTTGATTGGATAAAAAATAGAGAATTCCTAACCTATTCTGTTTAATAACAAATAGGAAAACATTTGGGCATTGATTCATGATTGGCAGTTTTTATGTCACTCAATCAACTCACTCTGTCATTGTTTGACAATGACATTAAGATTCGTCTACAGTCTATATCGCAATAAGACAGATAAATCTTATATAACGATAAAAATTTGTGGGTAAATCTAAAAGCCGAAATATTTTTAGAACTACCCTCCATAACTTAATAAATAAGGAAGTTAATTATATATAATTTATGTTTATTGTGAAAGACCAATTTTTTTATAATTCGGGGTGTTCCTAAGCAATAATTAGGTATTCCATCTATTCATCCGCTCGGCCCTGGTTTCTAACAAAGTATATTACTTTTGCTTAGCTCCACCTCACATACAACACAACAACATACAACATACAAGGGCAAATATACTATGCACGCTGTGAACATAATAATAATATGTACATCAATTTTGTTTGTATTGTGGTAAGGTAAAGAATATATTTTATCAATACAATCAGCAGTGAGTTAAACTATGCCATATGCGTTATCTTTTTGAGTCAACGAGTTTATCTAATCGTTTACTATCAAATAGGCGTGGGAGGAACACTACATTCGACTACATTCATTTGTTTCATACAAATCCAAAGTCATTAGATACAATTTCTACAATGGATTTAACACAAAATCAATGATTAGGAAAATGGTGGAAGTGTATTTGTAATAACGATGTAAATATATTCTAAAATGGTAGTTTGTGAACTGGACAAGGAGGTTTCTGGTGAAATACTTGGATGGAAGCTCTCCGCTTGGCAGGCACTGTTATTTCACCGTGTACTGCCATCTTGCGGTGGCCTAGTTCTTTATCTCGTAATCATTTGTTTTGATTTAGCACTAGTTTCTCAACATTTACAAAATGGTAATAAGGTGTAAGTATTTAAAGTTGGTAAATATCGTATAAATATCATTTAAAACTATAACTAAATAACGCGATTGTCGAATTTGGCATCTTAAATTTTATTCACAAGTACCTACTTGTTCTACCTAGAAATGACATGAATAAGCATTCCCGCGAATTTTTGTGACTAAGCCCTACATACCCGACATAATTATATATGTTGAAAACAACGCCAATGTATAATACATTACTTACATTAACTAAGTAATTTGGATATATATGTTTTTTTCTTTATCAACAGGTTAGCTGGTTTTTGTATGACACTTATATATTTGCCAGCAATAATATCTCTAGTATTTACACTAGCATCGCCCCCGCCAAGCCTACAACCAGAGGGCAATTCGTTCGGCGTTACGATTCAAAAATCTGATTTAAGATGGATTTTTATTCAGCTCGCAAGCGGTATATTTTTTCCAATTGCAGCTATTGGAAGGTATTAAATTTGTTGATCATCTTGGAAGAACAAATAAAAACTAAGATAGTTTAAACATTCAAGTATTTAATTTAGAATTATTAATACAATAACGTTTATTGAACCGTGCTAAACAAAATAGGGGATATCAATGATAATAACAATATTATTTGTAAACAATTTTTTTTTTCAATTACAAGATTTTGTGAACTTATTTCTTACAGGTATAGTTATTTAATATTTTGGTGGGTGGAATGCGTTTACGCGGCCCGATCGCAAAATGACAAACGTACGAGAGACGCTCTTATGCGAGCAAGAACACCATCCTCGGTAGAGCTCTATCTGTTTCTACAGGCGTTTATACATTCGGCTCCTCACGCTGTAATTAATATGTTAAATATGATGGCAAGTTTTGCTAATCCTGTTTATGATATAAGTAAGTCCCTAACTCTGTCTTGTCACTTTTTCAGCAAATAGGTACAGATATAATAGATTGTTTTTATTCTTCTTTCAGTGCAACTTCAAGCAGTAACATTGGTAGCTTCATCTTTACGAATGGCAAGCACAGCCACTCTGTACAGAAGATTTGAAAGAGAGAAGGTATGCGGCCGTAGATATCCATGGAGCATACATCTTAACGATTTAAATGATACCAACGCAGATAATACTATTGTTAAAAATAATGACTCGAAAAAAGAAGAAGAACCAATTTATGAATCTATTTTACGCAAACAATATGTACCATTCTTACGACATTCAGAAGAGGCTACCCAGAGGGATGTGATAGTGAGTGACATGATTCAATTTTCCCCACGTCAGTCCGAAAGGACAACTATTTATGAAGAGGACGAAGATTATGATGAGTCAGATACAAGCTCACAATATATGACTCCAACAGTCAATCGATATGATAACGTAGACAGTGACGAGGAATACGTTCGTCCTGTCTCTATCATTGATAGGGTTGCGCCACGAAGACATGATACGTATAGAGTTCAGAATGTTAATATTGCCCCACCGCCTTCAACACCAGCGCCACGACCGGGTTCAATTGCAGTCTGGGCAGAAAAAATGGTGGAGAATGCAGAGTCGATTCCCACGTGGCTGTCTGCTCCTCCTCGAAGAAGACACATCGATATTATACAAGAAGACTCTGATTTACCTCTACCGCGTCGTGTGCCCGGATCCCAAATCCGAGGGTTGGAACCACCAGACGCGACGGCTGCCTTCTTCCATTTCCTCGGATGGTACGGCTTCTTCATTGCGCGATTGCTCTCTATAGCTGCATTTATCAACTTCTCGTCCTATTTCTCTATCATTGTTTTCTTTATACACTATCAAATAATGTTGTTATTCCTCATAGTTCCTCAGGCGCCAACAGTGCGGCGCGCGTTTTACGTTTTTCTCGCATTCATTTATTTATTTTGCTTAATGGAGTTTAAAATACGTTTTCGTCATGTCAGGGTGTGGCATTTATTCTGGTTTCTGGTGTGCACTGCTGAAACTGTGATATTTATAGCTCTTTGGGCCACCATAGACAACCCTTTGCACAGTTGGTGGAAAAATTACGTAGTTCTGGTAACAATGGGTAGTATGATTTTAAGTTATATGTTATTTTTAATTTATTTTTTGGTGTTGCAACCGAGAGAAACCGTTATACACGTTAAGAATCCTAATAATAGTTCGGAGCGTAGGTAGCAGTCATTGTATAGTCACGGACCTATGATAATAAATATAATATTATTGTATGTTGAATAAAAAATATAGTAATGTTTTGTTTAGTAACCTAAAATAACTTTTTGCGTACAATAGAACGTTCTGAGAACTGTGATTGGATCCATCTGTTGCGTGTTTACTACGGCTTGGTTAGACGCGGATCGAATGAATGGATATTAAATTGATTTTCAATCATTAACTTGCAATGAAATTGGAAATAGCTATATACATATTTTGATAAAAAAAACTATTTACCATAATTGTTTCCTGTTACATAAGCTATTTAAATATATTTATTACATTTTATACTTATTCTAATAAATTAGAGTCTGATTTATTTTATAAGTGAAGTAACCTTTCAAGAAAAATAAATGAAGTAAGTGTAGTATTTTTTGTAATTTGCTTTTTTTTAAATCACTTCAATACAACACAATCTATGTTTATCGTAGTATTTTTTACTCTTTAAAAAAAATCTATTTTTTAAAAATTTTCGTGATTTTATTTCACGTTAATTTAACACGTAGCACATACCACATAAGTAACGTTTTTGTAGCGAGGTAGAACAATCTACGCACGCGAACTTAAATCTATATAAATGTTTTCAAAGCCGGCGATGTTTATGTGTTTTCCTCTAGTCTAGCGGGACCATAAAACATTGCATAACATTTACTTTTCACGTACGGCAGGGTGCGTATGAGTCGCTGTAACCTATAATTCTTGACACTCCAAGAAAGTAAGGTGTAATGCATCTACAAGTAAACATAAAGATGTATGCACATCAAAGGAACTCCCGTACCCGACTGTGATTGAAGCCTTCTGTTCGGTTGTGCTTTGATTTTTTATTTTGAGAAACATAGGCCAGTTTAACGTCGTTATATGGCAATACGTAAAATCTACATTTCTTAAACTTTTAACAGGGGCACATGTACTTTTTCGCACAGTCTTGTGTTTTAGAAGATTATATATAGAAGAATTTTAATTATTCCAAGATCATTCTTGGTTCTACCGTTGCGTTGAGTTTTTGTCGTTTTGCCTTTTATTATTAATAGTATAAATTTAATAAAGTTACTAAAAGTATAATTTTAATATATGTAAATGTGAGAATATTATTTATTAGAATTACACAATGTTTTTCTTTGTTTCAATAAAGACGATTTCAGAGCTTCAGAGCAGAGACAGAACCAAAACGAAAGAGATTAAGTTTATTTGAAATTATGTTAAGGCGCCAAATTTTCATGTTTCATAATCGTTCTCTATGTTAAGTAAAAATAAATAATGCACTAATAATACACAATATGTCGGCACATCTTCGCTGTACATAATCCTGTTCACAATTATACATGTCTACTTCAATGTATGTTCCCGCTGTCTGTTGTAAGAGCGGTGTTCACTTTGATCATTATTTTTTGCTAATTTACCATGGCCTGTCGATAACACGCCGGAGATGAGGGCGCTTTCGTAATTACAATCCGTAAGTACGTACCTAAAGATCGTTATACTTTCTTATGAACTGTGTGGAATTTGTTCCCATAAAAAACAATTTTAATGATATTTTCTGGTATGATGAATTGATGAACATTTAATGTTTTATTTATTTTACTGACAATCATTACATATTTTGTAAGTGAAATTGGTTTTTAAAAGGCTTAATAAAACGGTCAGGATTATCAACTGCAATGCAAACTGCAAACGCTTGTAAAGCTTCATTAACCTTTTGTTCTAAATCAAGTAACGTCTAATCCTCCTACGCAGTTCTGAATGTTAATTTATATATATTAGAAACCAATGCAGAAAGTTAATAAATCGTGAGTTGTACTTGACGGAGGCTGGGCCAAGGCCCTCGCCGGCCACTTGTAATCCGACACCTCTTGTATTCGATCGTCTCTACTAATTTGCGGTTCTCTGCAACTGAAGGGCTGTCAAACGGCTTAAGCTACATATAAATGAGAAGAGAATTTGAGGTGAATTTACTTGGTGGAATGAAGAATTCTCCAGTATGGATTTCTATAGTATCGATTTAAGATGATTAACACACAGACTAAATAAAAACTAAGCGTGAAATCAAATTTACACTTCACGGCTTTTTATCTGTGGACGGTTATTCATGAACCGGTACGTTTGGTAATGTTTCTATTCTTATACTTTTTACTTCCATTAAAACTGTTTCTGTCGCGTGGAGTAATACAATTACGTAAATGTGTATGTCAAAAAAATAGTTTTAACCTTCAAGCGAGTCTTTCACTCTACATAAGTGAAGTCAAAAATTTTCTTATAGTATCTTCAATCATCTGTTGTAATATTTTAAATTAGATTAGCCTAACCAATCGTTTTAACTGCAACCGTATTTATTTTTCTTTACAAATAATTTATATATTCAAGGGTAAGGTAATATTAAAACAATATTTTTTTTAAATTAGGTTAGGTATAGATTAAACGCTACAAGCCTATAACCATATTTTTTCAAAGACATTTTATTGATGTATTTTTTAATGTGGTAACCCTAAGAGCTGTGTGTAAGGAGGCGGAACCCTACAACGGGTTGCGTTGTGCCACACGATAAATCGTACAGCATCGCCGCCTCGTGGACAATTTCCTCGTCTGCAGAGATCGGCTTTCATGATCTTGTCCAGAACTATAATTAATTGCAAGAATAGAATATTTACTGTAGACAAATAATGGTATTTCTTTATCTGTGCGGTTATTGTGTGAGAAGTTCGTACTCCTATAATTAAGGATAAGAATCCTACAATTTGGATGAATATGGAGACCGAATACGTGATACATGCATTGAAAAAAATGTATACCAAATACTTATTTAAAAAATTATAGGTATATTTCAGTGTTTATTTGTGCATTTTTCTGTGCCTTGTCTGACGTTTATCTTGTTTTGGGATTTGTGCCCAAAACTTTCTGCCCTAAAAATGCGCTTAGTTTAATGCAAACCGATACATCTTAAACACGAAGTCGTTATGTAAATGTTGACTCTAGTCACGAAATGCTTTGTCATTTTTGTATTAATAGAAATCAATCGAAAACATACTTTATTAACACGATACATCGTTACGAAAAAGCCTTATCAATAAACAAACAACCAATATTGTTGTAGTTTGATCTGCATACTAACAATATACATATGTATAGACAATACTTAGTTGATAAGAGATATCTCAGGGCAAACGTGTTCCCAATGGGTTGAGTGCGTCCATTCCTCCGCGTAACTCGAATACGATAAGGTAATTACTTTCTAGATTGACTCATGTAAACAAACAAATACAAACAGTACAAGGAAATTTGTAATAAACATACCTATTGGCGTTACAAAGCTTAAAAATTCATAATTATGTTCTATAGTCGTATAATCTGTATTAATGTCCTATCGTAATTTTGCATGCTCTGTGGTATTTACATACGATGACTTTTTATGTAATGTGTCATTTTGATTTATAATCTATATTATATTGGTAATACTTCAGGCCATAAAATATATTTTAAAAGTACACGTTATATAATTAAAATACGTACTATTTATTTCGTTTTCTAGTTGTTATCCAAATAGATTATTTTCTAATTTTATGAAAAGTTTTAACTTACCATTCGCATTTAACACCGTTTTCGCTATCCCATGACAGGAATGGACATAAAAGTCACTTATGTATTAGATTTCTGTGGCTTACACAACATAAATTAATTATTGATGTTGTATTGACCACTGCACAATTGAATAAAGGAGTTTCGCACGAAGGAGGTAAAACGTGGAGAAGGAAAAAAGGTGATTATCTTAAAATAATGTAATCGTAATGACTTACTTCGTCCGTCTACTGATGTCATCATAATATCATTATGGTGTAACGAGTATGAAATATAATCCTATTTTTTAATTATCTAAAACAGTAAACATTAAGAGCCCAATTTTTCACTGCCTAAAAATGTTGATGCTATCAAAAAGGTCTGATTACAGCTGTACATAATTTATATTTACAATATATAGCATTTATGAACTAATTAGCTTTAGCATATTTTTAGTTTAGAATGAGCTGTTTATCTATATCTATACTCTATACTAATATATAAAACGGAATAGTGTGTTTGTTTATTTGAACGCGCTAAACTCAGGAACTACTGGTGTGAATTGATTTTTTTTTGTGTTAGTTAGAGCATTTATCGGGGAAAGCTATAGGCTATACGTATTAAACATCGCGCTGCGATTCACAGAAGCGGAGGAACTGCGGGAAATTAAGAAAAATGATTTATCATTGCTGGTTAACGGTGCTAAAACAATTTAAGATACGTAAAAAAATACGTATGAAAGAATTTTTTCTATATAAATGAACTAAAAAAATGTTAAAAACAGTATATGTCTATCTTTTAAGATTAACTTGCAAGAACCCACGAAGTCCCGACGACGCGGACGACGGTGTGAGTAACAGCTTAAACTAATTATTTATTTATTGTTTATAACTTAACTATTCTACGCGGACGAAGTCGCTGAAATAGCTAAGTATATGTCTATATCCGATTTTCCCACGAGCAACACTAAGTGAACTTTCCTTTATTAACACAGATTAACACATGGTAAGACTTGAACATTTGAAACGCAAAACAAGTTTATCCTATGAGTAAAGTTTTAACTATTTTAATACATTGGTGCCTCCGTAACTCAGTTGTTAACGGTCTAATTTAAATCTTTCAAAAGTTATATTTTGGTGTAAGGGATAGTGTTTTGAGCTCTCGATTGAATTCCGTTTTTGGTCGTATACTAAAATATGTCTCTTTGAATTCGGGAAACATTTCAATTCTTGTTTTAATCTTAAGTATTCAATATTTATAGTTTACGCGACATTGAAATAAAATATAAATTTTCGCGTTTTAAACCGCTAATGTATTTTATTTATATTTGACACATCTTCTTGTGTGGTCTGTTTGCGATTTGCATTGATTTTAATGTCTCTAGAGAATAGATCAGTTAATCCCCAATACGTAGT